CACTCGTGCGCGCGACGTAGATATTACGAGACCTCGGAAGCTCTAGGCCCTAGATAATTGTTTATCGTAGTAGCCACAGTGTGTCGCAGTCGCGTTAAGTATCGTTCGTATAAGAATTAATGTCATCGCAGCGAACAGAGAGAATTCTTGGCTTATATATAGTATTGCAACAATATTCCTCTTACATAAATCTTGCATTCCGTTATATATACATATATATATCGCGTTGCGGAAGCACGCAAGATCTAAATTCCAGAAATATAACTGCATTTCTTACTATTTTTCGACAATATTTGCTTGAAAAGAAACATCTGTTTTTTTTTTTTTTTTTCTAAGAATTATATCTCTTAGAAGGGCGTGTGAGAATATAAAAAAATATGTGTCCTTTTATTCTTATTTTCGTCTACATTTTAGTATATTCAAAAAGCTTATCAAAATTAATCTCGAAGAAAGACACTTCAATAATGTTCTTTTTTTGTAGTTTATGTACATAAAAAATATAAATAAAATTATATTATATAACGCGAAAGAGAGAGATATGAATATTAACGTTTTGAATATTAACAATCACGATATCATTGTACCGCATCATTGCAACACATACTCACATGTACGCACGCACGCACAGACGGGCGCAACGTGAATGATAGGTCAGTGTTCGTCAAGCTTAGATAATTGAGGGCTCGAGCGTCTATCCGACGCTCATGGAGAAATCGACGACGCTCGAGTCTCTATTTATCCAAGCTTGGCGAGCACCTGCCTTAGATAATCGATTTTTACATGAATGCACGTTATATGTCGATCGGTCGGTGATGGCCCGTCAACCTGTTTCTCATCGGCACTCATTTACACGGCGCTTAATAGACAATCAAGCAACTGAAGCGGCCGAGCAAATTGTTTCGATCGACTGCCGCTTCCGATGACGTTCGAGGCTACGGATGATTGCCTCGTTTGCCTCGCTTTAGAGTAACTCGATTAGTTTTTCCCGGTCCTACAATCACTCGAAGTTTAAGCATTTCGTTGTCGATTGATGACAAATTGTAGAGAATCTTATGAAACAAATTGAAGAGAATTTTGTAAAAAAAAAAAAAAAAAAACAACGCAAAGTTGCGCGAACAGAAGATCACGGAGAGAAAACTTGCTCTCAAAACAAACTCATTTGGTCGTTAAATGAGTAGCGCACGATTGTGTCGCAGTAGCGCGACGCAATCATATACACATATATGTTGAACTTGAAAAACTGACGAGTAAAGCTCATTAAAGCGAAACAATATTAACGAGTAGAAAATAATGGAAAACACAACAATCGTTGTGATTTTTGTGATTTGCTGCTGAATACTTCAGCAGAAATATACATATATTTCCAACGGTTGAGATGCATTACAAACCGCTACACAATGGTTGCATTCTGAATGCGGCCAATGTTTCTTATTCCGTACTATATACAGTATTTCTCTCTTCTTCTAAATTTCTCTCTCTTTTTCTAAACTTCTAAATGTTCACATTCTGTAAAGATCTTGAAACTGAAAAAAAAAAAAAAGAAAATAATCGAGAAATGTCTAAGAAACTAATTTTGCGTGGATGTGTGTTTATACATCTCTGACATTGTCACGCATATATTAATTAACTTTGTAATTCGCAGCAAAGTATTCATGTAAAGCAAATAAAATTAGTATTACGCAAGTTAATTAAGATAGAGGAGATACCCGTAATCACAGATTAAAGCATGAAGAATTGCTCAGTCGTTTTGGAGTACTTAAAGTAATGAAGTAACTATCAAAGATAAACTATCAAAGTAAAACAGAAGTTGCGCCATTTATATAAAATACACTCTGGTAACCGTATCGCACAAATTTCATCATGTAATTTTCACTTGCTTAGTTGCAAAAGAAAAACTTAAAACGAGAAATAGTTCACGTATAAGCATATGAGTGAATCGGAAATCTTATCAAATTAAAAGAAAAAAAATGACTATTGAATAAAATTTTCATTTCTTCGCAGATCATCAAATCTTAATAAACTAAATAGAAGAAATATTCTCGAATAAGTTGCTCGCGGATCAAATCCGCGATCTTATAAACTAAATAAAAGAAATATTCTCGAATAAAGTTGCAACGCAACATTATAAGAAACACAATACATCTATTATTATTTCACATGAAAATTATGTTCTTACACTTTGATAACAAAACAATTTTTAATGCAAAGTAACCTAAACATTAAGAATGTTTATTTGTCAGAAAGTTTATTAAGAAACAAAAAAACTTAGATTTGTGCGTATAAAGTTACAAAACATAATTACGAGTAGTTCAAGGAGAGATACAGTCTGACATTTTCTGGCTTGTCCTTGGTTCCGCTCGAGGATAAACATCGATAAGTTAAGAACGTTACATTGTCTTCGTCACAAATTTCGCGAGATGTATGTCTCATAAAATTTCGAAAATTCAAGTATATTATATTCAACTTCGGTCCTGCGATCAGTATAAACAGAAAAACTATTGAAATCCATATATGCAACCCGTTTATTTTATATTGGTTTTTTTTTTTTTTATAAAACGCATGTTTAATAACGCTTCGAAATACACATTCTTATGATTTTCATCCGAGATATCTGTCGCGACAATAGCACATTGAACGTAACCGAGAGAGAAACTATTCGATATTCTTTTATATTCAAGAATAAAGACCTTTTGATATTTCAATCGAAGAATTCCCAACAAAACCTATCGGCGATATGTTTCAAACCTGATTTTCATAAAATTGACGATAACCCCGTCGCTTTGCGATGAAACGCAAATATGAGAGGCAAGGGAAATGAAAAGAGACAACGTGAAACGCAAAACAGACGCGAAGCTCTGCATTTGTGGTGTTCCAACCCGTCCATTGTCCGCCGCGACACAATGGAGATCTTTCTGGGCGCGCGTCGCGCCGTACGCAGAGAGGTTTCCCTTGGTGCTTGTTGCTCCGACGGGCGCCTGACTAAACTTTACCCGGTCTCTAGCCGTAGCAGCACCACGTGCGGTGCGTCTCGCTGCTGCACGGCCCCGGTAATTTCCCGTACAAACGGATATAGACACATCCGCGTATATACGCGCCAGAACCGAAAAAGAACGAGAAGAGAAGAAGCGAGAGAGAGAGTGAGAGAGAGGAACGCGGGATGCTGCGCAAGAGAAGAAAAGGAAAATCTCTCTGGCGCGATGCGAGAGAAAAGAGAAAAGATGAGGAGAACTGTACTACTGTGGAAAGCGACTACGCGCGCAGTAGGATTCGCTGGGGATAGGTCAATCAATGACCTATTTAAGGCGTCTTCAGACCGTTCTCTCTCTCTCTCTCTCTCTCTCTCTCGCTCTTTCTCTCTTTCTCTCTTGGCAACGCGAGTTCGCTATATTCGATCTCGGAAGATATTCCGCGATAATAAATATGTAGGGTGAGATAAAGAGAGACGTTTACGACACAAATGGGGCGGAAACATTACGCGTTCGTTGGATATCAAGTGCTTTCGTAAGTTAAAGAACGACGTTTTGCGAAAACAGAACAATTAAATGTCTATCATGTTTAATTAATTCTCGAGGAATAGCTGCGTTGATTGTGTCGCGCAAGAAGACGACTAATTTATTGCTTCAGAAAGTGAAGCAAATTTATTCGCTTCATAAGTAGCACAATCTTACTCTGCAAATATATCTCTTTCAGAAAGAACAAGAATCAATTTTAATTTTCCTTAAAATAATACGAATGTTTTTTTTTTTTTTTCATTTCTTTTATTCTAAAAATAAAATATATCATCCAGTTTGTTCAGAATAAAGCGTCTTCCATCAATTGTCAATCCGGACGTTCGATCAAAACGTGAAGAAAAAATATGTAAAAAATATCTGTTTTAGTTCTCACGATGCTTTTACATGCGATAATTTTTTTACACGTGTTTTTAGATATCGCAAAAGGAAAGAGAAAGAGAACAGATAGATGGTTATCAATCATTAGAAGCAGTGTTTTCTTGCAATATATGATCTATTGAGTAAACAGAGAATTGTATGCGATATTCGCGAATATCAAAGCGAGAGACGATGACAATTTATTCAAGTGAATAAACAAGCATCTCGATATGTTATATTTGATTTTAGTTGCCTTTACACGCGTCGACTTAGAAAACTCAGCAAAGTCCGATAAAGGTTGAATGCTGACGCACGCGCCTTGTCAGAAAGATGAAATAAATTCCTAATAAAGATCGACTGTGGAATTAGTTCGCACCGTGTCTGTGAAAAGTAAATCTGTGTGTGTGTGTTCGTAAATTGCGTACACAAGACGTAGTTGATGTACTTTCTACAAAAGCTATTGCGAAAATTCGATATACATTCAATCGTTAACTCTTTAATTTCCTCGTTTTCTCATGTCAGAAAAGATTTTCTAAGCTAAAATACTAAATGCATAAAGTGTACCAAACGTAAAAAACAATTTGGAAGAGAAAACGAAATTTTTAAAAAAAGTTTCTTAGTCTCGTTGAAGAGAAAAACTCTTTAGAGTCCGTGAAAACTTTTAAAAGACGTTCTGCCCTTTTTGCCAAGAGTTGCTTTGATGTCACAAAGCACAGTATTTTAATTGTCTCGAATTCATATCCGAAATCTGGACTTTATTTTTCGCACAGACATAATATATTTGAAAGAGATCCGTATTTCTGAATTTCTTTCGAAGAGTTTCTCAAGATCTGATATTTGATGCTTTCGCGGTGTGTTGTATTAACATTCGAAGATGTTTTTTATCGTTAATATTTTATATCGACGTTTCGTGAACATTTCACCTCTTACTTCATCAGGGTCTCAAGACCTGATACTCTAGATCATTCGGAAATATTTCAGGTTTGTATATCGTATGCTAAAATCATGTCGTTTTTGTGCAAAAATATATTTAATTATTAATTATATTAATAATTAAAGATTATATTTAATTATTTCGAAGTTTCATAAAGCGATACGCCATACCACAGTTGAAAAGTATAAAAAGGATATGGATTAGTGATCAGCGCGAGACACCAGTTGCGCGGTCGTGTAGTCTGGTCGAGATATCTGAGAGCAATAGGAACGAAACCTGGATAAGGCAGTCCCTCGCCTTCTTCTTCCTCGTCGTCATCCTCGTCGTCCTCGTCGTCGTCATCGTCGTCGTCGTCGTCATCATCATCGTCGTCGTCGTCGTCGTCGTCGTTGTCATCATCATCGTTCCGGCCGTTTTCACCGTCCTCATCATCCTCCTCGTTTCCTCTTCTCACCGCACGTCTGTTGACAGACATACACGCCCCATCCTCGTCTTCGTCTTCATCGTCCTCGAGATCGCTGAGTTCCTCCACGTCGCTATCGGAACCCTGCTCGCCAGAACTCCCGATTCCTCCGCCATTTGCCTTCGACGCGGATCGGTACCGGTATCTCCGAGGATAATGCAGCGACATTCTCGACGAATCTCTCCTTTTCTTTCTCGCGCACGGCAAGCCGATTTTCCTTGGCAATTCTTTCAGCGACAAAGTCGCAGCCTCGTCGACATCCGGGCAGGTAGCTGCTGCTTGAGGCGACGGTACGGCGACTTCTCGCAGAAAAAGATTCTCATCGCCCGATCACTCTCGACCGATTACGCGAACAATCCCGCTCTCGAATCCCAACGACATCATCGAGGATGTTTCTCATCCGTCGAAACTCCCCTTTGATTATATTAATTCTTTTCTATATAGACAGAGATATATAACGATCTCTTTCCTATATTCGAATTTTTTATCTCAATCTCGACGCTCGCTACACATTAGTCCGCGCTCTTGCGATCGAGGCAGAGAGCGAACACCTACCGAACGCATCTTATGTGAAATCAGAGAGAGGGATGACAGCGAGCACGCGAATACGAAGAACTGAAAATTGCCTCGATGCGCCTGCTCGATGTGTTCTCACCTGCGCTCCTCACCTGGAACACGGAGCGAGCGCGCAGTAACCTTGCCCCGGTATCGCGGTGTCCCTAGAGGATGGTCGTGTTCGCTATTCTCACAACGAGGTCACGCAATACATATAAACGCAGATTCTTCGTTTAATTCTTTCTCGAGAGAAATTTCCGTCAGATCAAATCACGCAAAGTGTGCGATCAGAGAGATTATTTTCTCTCTTCTTTGGAAAAAAAGAAATCTTCTCTCTCTCTCTATTATGTTTAATAATTAATCTATCGATATCTATCTATCAGTCCCGCGAATCTCTCGAGCACTGTACAAATGAGAGTGAGCCGATGTAAGCGCGGATGTAAGACTCCACACGATGGTGGCAGTAGCAGCTAAACGCCACCGCCGCGATTTCCAGCACGCAACACAACGACGACGGCGCGCGGCGCAGCGTCGACCGGTGACTGAAAAAATGTCGAACATCCTTCACCAAGGAAGAGGTAAACGCATGCGCGACCCCTGCCTGTCTATATTCCTCGCGCTTCATCCGCAAGTTTTGCGCGACCTCCAACATTCGCCCTCGAAAAAAAATTCCGGAACATCTTCCTACTCTTTCTCTCGCTTTTCTCGTTTTTTTGCGCATCATTTTTCTTCTCCTCTCCTCTTCTCTCCTTTTCCTCTCTCTCTCTCTCTCTCTCTCTCGGTCAACCGAGAGAGATTTCTTCTCGAGGCTGATACTCGAGGGCGGATAAGACGGAGAGAAAGAGAAAAACAGAGGGATGAAGAGGCAACTGAGAGAATCCGGTAGAGTCCTTGAGATCCTGCTCGCTTTCACTTTCGGTGCCGGCTAAGTGACACTTGTACCTTTTTCTTCACCACCGCTCGAAGTAGTATATCTTTCTCTCTCTCGAAGAGTCACATTCAAAATTATATGCCGAGCTAATTGATGGGCAACGACGATCATCACGAGGTGATCGCTATCGAGGCGATTTTTCTTCCAAAGATATTTCGGAGAAAAGAAAATAGTTTCTCTCGACCCGTTTCAAAATAAGGGAAAAAACTTTTACGGAGAGTTATTTGATACATGATTTAATAATGCGATACGTTGTTCCGAAAGACGAAACTTTGTTCGCTAAAAAGAACAAGAAAGCAATTTTACTCGTTGTGTTGTAAGCAGCACAACTTTTTTCCAATTCGTATTTTGTATATTGAAACTTAAACAACTAATGCCTCGCAAACACAAATATTCTTTGAAAGTAATACGTGTAAAACTATTAGAAATTTTATTTTTTCTGAGAGAGAAGGAGAGATAGAAAGAGTGTGTGTGAGTGAATATTAATATAAGTATACGAGAAAAAATATTTGGACGTACATCCACACAGAACATTCATAGCTCCATGCAACACGTAATGGACGTATAATAGAGTTCTGTGTGTGTAGATATATATAAAATTACATATAAAACATGTATTACATATAAAATTTTTTGATCTTACATATCGCAAGCTCCTTCTAAGGAGCTCTTAATGAAATGTCAAAATCGAAACTAAAACAATGCTTTCTCGAGACTAAGTTTCGTACATGCTTTATCTATTTTTACTCGGAAATTGGAAAAGACGAAGAGTGTACGTACATATAGTCATTACAATTTCAAACAAGAGACAGAGACAAAATAGTAGTGATAATCAAATACTGGATTATACAAAGTATTGAACATATATTAAAGTCGGCGTTGTGTTCCGGAAACGATGAAAATTGTTGGATGTTACAAACGCGTCGTCGTCGACCTTAATCGACTCCGATGCACGCGCGTGCGTGCAGCCGAAAATAGACATCAACCATGCGTGTTCCGTGTTACTTGCGGTATGATCTGCAGTATTTGGCGTCTCGTAAAATACTTTTCTCGATTATCGGGATAAATAAGAAAGTAGACAGGAAACAAATAAATGATAAAAAAGGAAAAAATAAGTGAGGAGAAAGAGAGAAAAGAAAAACTGTTTAATATATTTTTTCCATATATATTTATAATATTCAGAACAAATCTCCAAAGATTATAATGCAATTTACAGGATTAAGTTAATTATTGTTGTGTCACTCCGTATTATTAAGTCATTTTATTCGACTGTAACACGCTATTAATCTGTTTGCAATCTAGCGCTTTAACTCCCTATACCAAACTACTTGAGTTAACATTATTTAGCACAAAAGGAAATTATTTTGTGCAAGATGATTCTATTAAAATAGACAAAAAATATTTTTTTTATTATCTTCCTCTTACTAGAAAACTAATTATCTCACACAATTTCAGATCACATGCCGCTAATTTCCTTATCGTCTAACAGAGTAGCAAGTTCTTTGGAATCCGTAATAGGTAGAGAGCACGTATGATGTCGACATACGAAAGCGGTCGCTCGACCTTTTTGAGGTTTCATCTTGCCGACAATCGCGTTCTTGCGAAGCAATATGTTATCCTGATCATCAGGATCGGCTAAGAGCAACACCCGACCGGGTATTAGACGCTCGCGAACAACATTAAGCATCTCAATCGTATCCTCGGCGTTCCGTTTCCCTGCTATATAAATCTGGAAAAAAATTTTCCACCATGATGCCTAATATTGTGACGACGTTGTTGTTTCCGCGCGTATCTCAAGTTAGCAATAAATGATAAGTTACGTACCTGCGTTCCGTTATGATATTCAAGCAGAGCTAATATCAGTTGGATATGTACTGATGGATCTTTTTCAATCTTGGTGTTAAATGTACGTAAAATCTGTTTGGCCTTATCCTTAAATTCGTCATAATCGAGATAGATCGCCAAACGAAGTAGATTGGAGCATGCGATCGCATTACCGGACGGTTCCATGCAATCATAAACTATAACAATATTCACTATAACAATATTCACTTCTCTACGACTTAATATCAACAATCAAATTTTGCAAAGACACACACTGTGCACTCATTTCAATTCAAAAATATTGTTTGACAAAACAAATTTGTTTTTGTGATGTATCTAATAAAAGAAATTAAATTCTTTATATTTTTTATATATATTTTTTTATTCGTATATTAAGCCGAGAGAAGTTTATAGTGAAGATATAATGAAATATATTCACCAAAGAACACGCTATAAATATTTGGATAAAATGATCTTTATGACAGAAGTGGTTTCGCTCGATTTCGTTTACTCGATGTAACTGCCAATGCTGCGGGTGTTAAGATATATTCTAACATTTAATGGCTAAACTAAAATTATCACAGAGCAGCGAGCGTACCGCTTTTAAGCCGTAGAATTATCTGAGGATCTTCAACCGTGGAAAAGTAACCAGCATCCTTTGAATCCCAGAACAGCTGGTCCTGTATATTCTGCAGCTTCTCGGCAACTTCGATCCAATGTGGATCGAAGTTGGCCTCGTAAAGATCGAGCAATCCTTTTATGAGATACGCATAGTCCGCAAGAAAGCCGTTTATTGGTACACTCCTATAAATTATATCGTAGCAGTAGCTTCTGCGTTGTGACACAGAAATAAGACAGCACTCACGTCTGCATAATTTTGTCGTTTTCTCCACGGTAGCAACTGCGAAGTAGCACATTTTTATTTTTATCAAACAGATATTGCTCTGCAAACTTGGCAGCACTTGTTGCTAATTCCACGTACTTCTCATTTCTCACAGCTGCTCCTCCACGTGCAAAGCCACTTATCATGAGACCTGCAAATAGATCGCTGATTACATTAGGCTTTGTGAAAGCATGTATTATAGAACGAAATAATAACAACGCAACCGTCACTTTTCATCGTGATAGCGCATTGGTGACTACAATTCACTACCATTCCACGCTGTGATAATTTTATCGTCCAAGTGAGGCCGCGGTCTTTTCGATCTTTCCACAAATAAAATCTGACAGGCCTCTTTAATGTACTTTTGTGCATCTTCCACGCTAATTCCAAATTTACTCGCAGTATTTGTTATTTCGTCATATATAATAAACACATTTTTGCCAGTGAGATGGCCTTGAGGATCCTATATCAAAGATCATTCAGAAATTAAAAAAAAAATAAATAATACAAAGTACTGAGAGATGACTTCCGGTTCGATATGGGAACTCCAAAGTTAAACAATTTAATAACGGCTAATCGGAATTATTGCAAGATATTTGGTAATAATTTTACTTAGTGTTTTTTGTCAAAATGTTTCGACTTTAATTCAAATCCTCTTCAGTCAATTACTAATATAATATAAACAACAAATGTAATAAAACATTAATGAAAGATTGTTAAACTTAGATAGATAAATAGATAGAAATATTTATTGTTTCCTCTCAGAGAGTTGCAATGTTACATTGCAAATTACAAAAAAAACTCTTACTACTAACTTATATTTGTCAAACTTAATATAAATATATTAATTATATTGTTTAAAAAAATAAAAATAAATAAAATATTATGTGCAAAAACGTATCAACAATGAAGTAAAAAAATAAAAACGTCACTATAAATTGTTAAATATATAATTAAAATAGAGAATAGAAGACGGAATCGCAATGTAATTATTTATGACGGTGTGTGTGTGTGTTTCGCACTGAGTTTAAATCAACATAGAACGTCACATATACATATAAATACACAGATATAGTAAAGTGTAAAGCACTATCTGTATAGAGATTATTGAATGTTCAAACTATTGTTTTGCAGAGTTTTATATGTAACATTTCTGATGTCAATCTTTTATAATAATTCGATTCAATATCTAAAATCTTTATAGCGTTCCAATTAAAATTGTGTTCACATTCTAAACTGTGTTTAGCTTAATGTATTTACTAATCCTTTGGTTACATAATTGACATGTTCAGAACATGTTCAGAAACTGTTCGGCCGTCATTAAACCGTTAAAAAAAAAAAATAACTTAATAAAATAAATAAAGTTATAGATAAAATAAATAAAATATATTCATAGAATAAATATTCTTACTGTGCAATAAATAAATTTATAGATAAAATAAATAAATATATTCATAGAATAAATATTCTTACTGTGCAATCTCAATAGTAACATACTTGACTTCTTGATACGTTTCCTTCTTTCTTTACGTTAAAATAATGACAAACGAGATCGAGAAAACAAACGTTATCGTTGCCAGGTATCTTTTTGTTCAGAACAGCCTTAAGTTCATCGTAAGTCCACACGTAGAACGCGCCTTCTCGTTTTTCAGAAGCTTCCATCTTTGGAAGTGAATCTGCATCTTCTGCGCTATAAAAGCCACCTTCCTGAACAAAATATAATTACGTGATAAATATTTTTTTCATCCATGTGCTGTTTTAGTTGTTTTATAAAATATACAATACACATATAAAAAATCCACATAAACCTCATTAGACGTTCATTATCGCGTAGAGCTGTAGACATGTCTAATGGACATTTAATCAAGTTTTTTTGTATGGGTATTTAACAAGGTTGTTCTGTATGAATATAATACCTTGTGCCGTAGATCACGCTCGACATACGTTGCAATATCATCTACAATATCAGAATAGAATGAGTCCTTTGTGACAACGTAAGTATCAGCATATGTTTGGATCATCTGCGCTTGATCGTAAAGCATTTTCTCAAAATGAGGTACGTGCCATTTTATATCCACGGAATACCTCGAAAATCCCTAAACAAACAAATAATTAAGACACTGTGATTCGTTTATAATAAATCAAACCGTGCATAATAATCAACATTATGTATCGAGTCTTACTTGTCCTACGTGATCGTGAATTCCACCATAAGCTATCTTTTTCAAGGTATGTATGGACATTTCTAAGCACAATTTACACAGATCAGGAGTATTGCTCAGAGAATACATGGTCAAAAGCATATTAATTTTCACCATTGTAGGAAATTTGGTTTGATTTGAGATTAGATCTATGAATTCTCCAAATCCACCGAAATCCGGTTCATATTGATCTGACAAATGATAAACGCACAAGATTGCATACTCGGATGAAGGTAACACATCGTCTTCCTGAAATCATCATAAAAAATCAATTATCATGAACCTAATGTAGAAATGTTTCAATCTTTTACATTATCAAGCAACTCTCGCTTACTTTTAAGCATTGCTTACTATCGATCATATGCTGCAGTATTTTTGATGTCTTAAGAGTGGAATTGATTACTTCGTTCTTCTGTTCTTTCCACTAAAATAAAAAAAAAAGATAAGTAAGATTATCGTTTGATATTTTGATATCAAATAATATAAATATCATTTTTTTTTTCAGATATGTACTCTCTGTGCAACATGCAGTAAGAGCGTCTTAAAGCCGATAAGGCCGTGTCTTGATTCTGGCGGGAAGTACGTTCCACCTAACACTGGGATTAAGTTTGGAGTCAGAATAACAGTCATTGGCCAACCGCCCCCTCCTGTCGTTTGCTATGCACACAAACACATATGCACAACACTGCATATATAATATATTCTAATTATTGCTTCTTATAAATTTACTAAAAATATTAAAATATCAAATTTCAAATAATAAGTTAATATAAATATTTGTTTTTTTTTAGATTTAATAACTTACACAAACGTATAGCATGTACGTTGCGTCAATATCGGGCCTTTCTTCTCTATCTACTTTGATGTTAACAAAATTTCCATTCATAATCTGAGCAATTTCTTCGTTCTCAAACGATTCCTTCTCCATTACGTGACACCAGTGACACGTAGAATATCCGACTGATAATAAAATCAATTTATCTTCTTTTTTCGCTCTTTCGAGAGCTTCGTCGCACCACGGATACCAATCCACGGGATTAGTTGCATGTTGCAGCAAATACGGAGACTTTTCCAAGCTCAAGCGATTTAGTCTTTTCACGCCAGAACAACTAACGTTCTTAGCGTTGTTTTTAGATGTTGATGCCATTCTAAAAACAGATAGTGACAGATCTTTATCCGAAGTGATTTATGATGCAATCTGTTTTAAATAAGTGATTAATAAATTTCATACTCGAGAATTACTCTTTGTTAAATATAATAGTGTATGCGCACATATATGATTACCTATTAATGTGTTGCTTAATTATTGGGAATGAAGTACCTTCAATCACACGAGATCCCGTATAATATTTATATATGAATCGCTTCTTAGAAAATTTGAACAAATGATAAACTGTTAATAAAAGACTGCATCGTCCCGAAATCATAACACGCCTGACATAGACAATGCGCTGTAATATATATATATATATGTGATGAAAGTCAATCTTGTTATAAAATAATTAAATAAAAATTAAATTATAAGCCCGTATGTCCCATACGCCTATTTGCGAAAAGAAAAAAAGCACGCTAATCAAAGATTAAACTCATTAAAGTATAGCGTCACACAGAACAAAACCCTCATTAGAATCCACAGTTCTATACGATATGTAATAGACGTCTAATGAGATTTTTCTATGTTTTGTTCTATGTGAGAAGTAAAATATATAGATATGTAGATATTTTCAATAAGTTCGTGATTATAAAAAATTACTTTTCAACTTATCAAATATTGCGTAAAAGTTATTTTTACATTACATAAAGTTGTCACAAGGTCTAAATAAAAATAAACATGCAACTAAATCAGAATTAGTTTATTTTTTTATTTTTCATTTATCAAGTTATTGATAAACGTAACTAGTGTAACGCATATTTCCATAAATAAATTTACAAATTTACTGGTAAAACAAGACGGTTCGGCATTCTCTTTAGAGGACGGTTCAGCATCCTCTTAACTGAAATTTACGGAAGGACATGGGCTCTTGAGGCGGAATTATTGGGCATAAAAGAAACTTAATCTATATACAATTTAAATAACAATAATAAAAAACAATAATGATTTATTCAGGCAAAGAACTTGTAATAAATTGCTGGAAAACAGAATCTTAGGCTGCGTTCCGATATTCACTGCCAGTACTGGAAATCTATTGCAGATGTGACATAAAGTAAAAATTTTTAATTTTTGTTCATAATAGAATCGCGGCAATAACAAATATATTTGAATGTCGCTCGGCACGAGATCAATTATTTTAAGTGTGCATTCTCTCTCGGAATACGGCGGCGGCCAGTATTGCGTGGCGTCTGTGAAGTTAGCACGACGTTTTATTTATTTTTACAAAATAATGATAGTTCTAGTAGCACTTTTCATTGTTCTACAGTTCCTACTACAAAAGTTAGTAAAAAAGTTTTGTAGTAAAGCAAAAGTTCCGCATTTTTAATATTAAAAAACCGAAAATTAAAAACTGTCGTGCTAACTTCACGTTCCAGAACGACGCAGTTTCCTCAAAACTACAGAAAAAAGGTGAAAACTGCACTTTTCATTGAGAGTTTTCGTCAGTTCTAGGTTCCACCTATACATATACAATAAAATTTCAAACCAAAATATCAACAATAAACACATTTATGTAATATTGACTTCACGTAATTTGACGCCAGCACGACATTCGACCTTCAAATGACCTTGAAAACGCTTTCTAAAGAAAAAAACTGATAATATTGTTTTCTTTCCTCCTCAAAATCATAAAACGCGTGTGTTTTAGTTTTTTTGCTTTTCGAGATAATCAGCTGGAAAATTTTTAAAAAAATTACCCTGTATAACACGAGTGTTTTAAAAGTCCGCGCTAAAATATATATGCCACGAAAGATCTAACATCTGGAACATATAGCACAGGTAAGAAACGTATATACCTTTCCGCATGAAGTTGGACTTAAAATACTTTAAACAATGAAAAGATTATTGATAATTATAATTTGATATCTATACTATGATGCACTTTTTTATATTGATATGTTTCTTTTATATATTTGTCTAAAAATTCTTGTTTTTACTTTTTTTAGTTACAAAATCAATAACTTTGCATTGTTTCGGTATTTTACAGAATAATCACAATTCTGTGTAATTCTTTTTCCAATTCCTATTTTACATTCCCGGTAAAAAATTTTTCACGTATAAAATTGTATGGACATATTCGGTATATAAATTTGCATAATTAGATATAGTAATTTTAATTTGTGTATAAGTATATATGATTATATATCAAAACTTTTTTAAAAATATAGTAAAAATATAGTTTTATATAATTTTTTGTATCTAACATGATACTAATAGAGTTATTTTGTAATTTGATATGGAATATTTCTGAAGCTATTCTCTTAAAAAAGAAATTCTCCGTGTATAAAATTGTATGGACATATTCGGCATATAAATTTGCATAATTAGATATAATTATTTTAATTTGTGTACAAGTATATATAAAAAATTTTTTACCGGGTTATGATCTAAAGTATAATTCAAGTTCCAATACAAATGCTTCAAAGCATTGCCTTTGATTGGACAGTCTTGCCCACGAGTATTTTATGAAAAATGCATCATTGCATAAATGATGCATTTTTATGCAATGCATCATTTATGCATTTTTCATAAAATACTCGTGGGCAAGACTGTCCAATCAAAGACAAGACTGTTCAATCAAAGTTCTAGGAGGACATTTGGGACGTTTTTAAAAAATGACGAAAGATTTTGAAACTTGAGAGAATCTTGATCATAAAATAAAATTTTACAAATTTTTTAAATATTTATTTCCATGGAAAATTCCGAGAAAATTGTTGTTGAAAACTCAATATTCCTAAACTTTCAACATGTGTTTTAACTCATATTTTAACAGACAAAAAAAGTAAGGTAAAAATGACACAGGTATTTGAACAAATTTGTACTGGTAGATTCAGAACTTAGGAATCACTGTGCAAAAGATGAAAAAACCTTTCCATGCAATTAAAGACAAAAATAATTTAAAACATCAAAAACGACGATTCTCAGAGTTATGAAGAAAACGTGGCAACAGCGTACATGGCATCAGTTGGTGATTTACTGCGTAGAGTATTGTTCAGCGAAACAAGCTGGTTTGTAGCAATTGTGCGTTGTTATCAAATGTAAAGTTTACAATGTCGGTAAGGTAGATACCATCTAATTCTCCTTTCCTCCCTGATTAACAGTCTCCAAATCTCCTTAAATGCAATCTCAGCACGGAACAAGCTTAAATACAATGATGTTTCGAAATATATAAAACGAGATCTAAATCTTATATATTTGTTATATATACATGAAATAAAAAATGAAAAAAATGGCGAACGAGATATCTACGTTCTACATCGCAATTATAGAACGTAGATTAAATGTTTTAGTCGATTAATGGTTTGTTGGTCGCAGAAAGCTCGGTCAGCAAATCGGATCAGAAAATGTATAAATTTATTTAGTGTGTTGCATGATTAAATAAAGCGTGCAGTTTGTCGATACTAACGTATGTATATGTTATACAAACTCACACACAATGTTCCTTTTCGGTGAAGCTCTGATTCTAGGCAAAGCTGAACTATTGTTTTTTGCGAATCTCGCCTTATATACAACACAACAGAGATACAGTCCGCACAGATATCTATAGTATATCAGAGAGAGAGAGAGACTGCGAGGCTCCCTGTATAGATATATATGTATATAATCGTTGTGTTCAGCAGAACTCAGCACTTAGCAAGCGTTTTGCGATTGTTGCTTATCATTGGTGTATACATTTCACATATCAAATAGATATACAAGAAGAGGCCAATCACGGAGTATAAGCGCGAAGCGCTTGCTAAGCACTTGAACGCAGCCAATGGCTGAGTGAAACAGATGGGACTTTCTGGTAGAAAGATGCGCGAAACGGACGAGTTTTTTCGTGGTATCCGGTTTCTCTTTTCAAATTAAACGCAGTATAGGTACTTTGAACGAACAGTGTATATATAAAGTTCCAACGTAACCGTCGTCACGGAAGTATCGTTTCTCGGTCTTCTTCAGTCGACAACATAATTTTTTGATTTTAAGCAAAGCAAAGGCTGTGTTCAGTTAAGCAAGATGGAACGAACTAATGGAGGAAATGCAGGAAATACAGGAATTGGAACTAATGAATTCCTGTATTTCCTGCATTTCCTCCATTAGTTCGTTCCATCTTGCTTAACTGAACACAGCCAAAGCATAGCCGTATGTTTTGCTGTAGTAGTCTTTGTATATTCTTTGGCTGTGTTTCAAAATTCACTGCCAGCGCTAAAGATCTATAGTTTACGTCACATATATTATATAATTTTAGCACTGGCAGCGTGCTGGTAGTAAATTTGGAACACAGCCTTTATATTCTAGAATGGCGTATGGACTAACTTAACTCGGTCCACTGAGCCAGTTTTGCACCAAACCAAACCAACAGTGTATATAGCACGAGTTGAGTTTCTGAACGCAGTCCTAAATGTGAGAAAAACACGTCGTAACTTTCCAACGTTGAATTTGCCGTTCAAGATTCAAGAAAATTAGTTTTTCGCCAGTTGTCATTTTTCTATCAAGAGAGAAAGAGAGAAAGAGATAAAGAAAGAAAGAAAAGAAAAAGAGAAAGAGATGATCCATGATCTCGATATGATTCGATTAATGTGATAAATTACATACACACACAATATAGGTTTTTGTATTGTTATATTTATAATTTATTACAAAAAAAAATTATAAAAACAATAACTACATTGTGTGAGATGGCAGCCATACATCGAGAAGCAATACAAAAGCAAATTCAACAAGACTGGGCCAACCGGGAATACATAGAAGTCATCACTGGCAGTATTAAAAAGATTACGGACTTTCTTAATTCTTTCGGTGATTTATCATGCTATTTTAAATATTTATGTCTTATAAATATTGTTAATTTGCGTTTATTAAACTATTAAAACACCAGATTACATAGTGTTGATATTTTAACGTAATATTTGTGTTTCAGATATGTCTTGTAGATCAAGAATAGCTGTTCTTAACGAAAAGCTCACAACTCTTGAAAGGAGAATTGAATATCTCGAAGCATGTGTAAGTTAATTTTTATTAAATTTCCTACAATTGTAAATAATCTATAGATAATATGCTAAACAAGTAATGTCACTTGTTAACGTGTTTTTATATAGTGGCAATAATACATTAAATAGTAAATATCTTCTGAAATCTATATATATCAACAATGATGTGTTTATTTAACAGGTCACAAAGGGTGAAACGCTTACATAATTCTTTCATATGTAATATAGACCACACAATGTTATTTTACAACTCTTTATTTCCTGTACTAGAACTTGAATAAATATTATATTGAATATATTATATCACTTGAATGAATATTATGTTAAAAGCAGAAGATACACTCATTGTGCCTCTTTCTATCATCATTTTGTATAACAGTACATCCTTCACTTACATAATAAAAAATAAAAGTACTAATTATTTTTTTCTGAGGAGATTATTGTTCCCAAGGTCTGGGTCCTCTGGGATCCTTAACAAGGGAGAAATCAAAGGGGACAATGGCGTTTGAAGTGCGTATTTTAAGATTTTCTATTGGAAATGGTGTTTCACCAATAAAATCATGATGTTTCTTTAACATGGCACCTGCAAGTATTACAACAGTGGCGTGATAGCTCAATGTTCCTCTTTTCTGCCATTTATAGAAAACTCCACCGGAAGCTAATGCTGTAAATAAAATTCATTAATTGCGTGTAACAGTGTTAAATTTACACGTAACAATGTATATTATTTGTTTTTGAACACAAAACATACAGGCTAGAGCATAATTGACATATCCGTCTTGTCCTCGAATTTTTGTCACTGTGTATGCCACTGAAGCAAAAGTAGCGCACATGGCAGTGATAGGTATCATCCAATAAGACATGCAATTCACCACTTCCCAGAATTGGTATGCTTGAGTTAGAAGCACACAATCATATATACCAATTCCAAAGCTAGCGCCAAACCCAAATTTGGTTAAACCAATCACTTTTTCAAACGGTGCTTGGCCTTCGGGTGCATTGCTGTATTTCCAGTTGTGTGCTAGATACTCTAACAAATACATTGTGAAACTAGAACAAAACAATACACATATAACAATACAAACAATACAGAATGTGGGAAAAAGTCTATACAATCTATTAAATACATTTGTATGTATACATATCAACTTCTAATAAAAAATTGATTATATTTTAACATTGAATTCTGTGGTATACATGTGTAATATATTGATATCACACACACACATTTACCATGTAGTATACGTGTGTGTTATAGGAGATGAATTCCGACTGTGTGCAAAACTCTAAGTTCAGATATTAACTTAATATACCACTGAGAGACAGTGTGCTATAACTTTAATGTAATATCAGCACTCTATATACACACCGGTAATTATATCTCGCTAATTTAAATCGCCATAAGCAGGCAGTGATGCAGGAAAGGTAACGTCACTACGTAACAAGTAGATAATATAGGTTTGGTGCATATATGGTTCAAAGGACCGATTTAAGTTAGTCCATACGCCATTCTAAGACTAAGTAGATAATATAATATTTAAGGGCTATCACACACAAAATGACATAGAACTTCCCCTCTTAGGGGAAAGAGTCGCAAACTCGTGACGTCATTGGGCAGCTTTTTTCTCTGTCCAATCAGAAGCGATTGTCTCCCTAAGAAACTCTACATTGCGTTCGATTTGAGAAAAGAAACTGAATGGACGAAAATACTCGTACGTATGTGTGTACAGAGGAGTGCCACTATATCATGCAGTTCCATGCGAAAGTATTTCTTGGAAATTTCTTCTCCGGCTGCTCCTACTACCGCGCGCCGTTCTCCTTTGATCTCGAGCCGCTGGCGGCCCGCATAATTCAATTATAAACGGAAGTACAGAGGAGTGCACCATATCATTCCGGTCCAGGAGACGTATTTCTTTGAAATTTCTTTTCTGGCTACTTCTATTCCCTCGGTCTCCGCCAGCGGTCCGAAATTTAAGTTAGACACTATTATTTATTTTAGATAATATTAATTAATTCAGATACTATCGAGCGCCATTTCGTTGTATCGAATTTGCGAAATTCCGATTGGCTGTTATTGCGCATTTGCGGAATGACACCTTATTTCTTTACATCACGACTGTACGTTCCAAAATCTCACATTGGTTACTTAAATGCTATATTTTACGTCACGTGCAGTATAGTTTTCGGTTATCAAAGTAGGATTTTGGAACGTAACTCCATGACCATAACTGTTTACACGCCACTTCGCGTCCGTCATCGCGATCACTTGCTTGTCATTAGCACTTTCGTTCATATCCCTTGTTCATTATTTTGATTATTCGTAATCATTTTATTTTGATATTGTAATTTATATAGATGTGTATAAACATTAACACGTCCCGCGCAAGCGGTTTGCGCTGTCCGTGAAAGCTCAAGACGGTGTGTGTGTGTGTGTGTTTGTGCGCGCATCACGCAGAAGAGGAGGTTGTAACATGTCAAAGATGTGGATAGCGACGATCGGCATGGTTCTGTACAGCGTCGTGATGGTTACCGCTGCTTTGCATTCATCCACCGCTTTGAACGGTGGTGATTTCATTCCCCATCACGGCCGCTGCGAGCCCATTGCCATCAATCTTTGCATGGACATTCCGTATAACGAGACAATCATGCCGAATTTGATGAACCATCAAAAGCAAGATGATGCCGCCCAGGAAGTGCATCAATACATGCCGCTTGTGAAGATGAAGTGCAGTCCGGATCTACGGTTCTTTCTGTGCACAGTGTACGCACCTGTCTGCACTATCCTCGAGAAAGCGATACCTCCCTGCCGATCATTGTGTGAAAGTGCGCGTTCAGGCTGCGAGGGATTAATGAATAGTTTTGGTTTTGCGTGGCCAGAGGCTCTGGACTGCTCCAAGATGCCAGAGAATGATGGTGTTGCACTCTGTGTGGGTACTAATGAGACTACCAAGTCTCCAGAGCCTGTTGCACCTGTCTATCCTCCACCTCGTATGCCAGTGGCAGAATTCCAACCACCTTGGAACGAAGGATCTAAACCTTATGGAGGAGGTGGTTTTGCTCTAGGTGCCAGAGACTTTGGCTTTGTTTGTCCAGTTCAATTTAAAGTTCCTCATGGATTAGGATATTCACTAAAAGTTGGTGACAAAGTAGAACCTGATTGTGGAGCACCTTGTGATGGAATGTTTTTCACAGAGAGAGAAAGAAGATTTTCGAGAGTATGGGTGGGCGCTTGGGCTTCCATTTGTGCTGTTTCATGTTTTTTTACATTTCTGACTTTTCTCATCGATACAGATAGATTTAGGTAAAGTTTCTGAAAATTGAGTTTGAGTTTTATAACATCATCAAATATAGTTATGCTTATGATAATAAATTTATGTAGTATTATGATATGTAAACATTTAGAGAAGTTCAAAATGAAATAAATTATTTTTTCTTGTAGGTATCCTGAAAGACCCATAATTTTCTTGTCTGTGTGTTACTTGATGGTGGCACTAGCTTATGTGATTGGTTGGGCAGCAGACAACTCCATAGCTTGCAGAGAGCCATTTCCTCCACCTATGGGCATTCGAATACAGATGGCATCTACTATTACTCAGGGTACTAAACATGAACTGTGCACCGTTCTCTTCATGGTTCTCTATTTCTTTGGCATGGCCTCAAGCATTTGGTGGGTTATCCTCACTCTCACGTGGTTCCTGGCTGCTGGCTTAAAGTGGGGACATGAAGCAATTGAAACCAACTCACAGTATTTTCATTTAGCTGCCTGGGCTGCACCAGCTGTGAAAACTGTAACTATATTGGCAATGGGTAAAGTGGAAGGTGAGAAACAGCTAAATAACTATATATATAAAATAAAATATTAGTGTTTTATACACGAAAAATTTATAGTATTATTTTTGCGAAATTATGTATTGTGTAATTTCTATAATTTGTTGTTTTTTTTTACACAGGTGATATATTATCCGGAGTATGCTACGTCGGTCTTTGGAACGTAGAAGCTCTGCGTGGTTTTGTACTGGCGCCACTCTGCGTTTACCTCTTATTGGGTACTGCATTCTTGTTGGCGGGTTTTGTCTCGCTATTCCGCATTCGTACAGTAATGAAACACGATGGTACAAAGACGGACAAGCTCGAGAAGCTCATGATTCGCATAGGCATTTTTTCTGTGCTGTATATCGTACCTGCTCTGATCGTAATCGCTTGCCTCTTCTACGAGCAGGCGTATTTTGATCAGTGGATGCTAACGTGGAATATGGAGATGTGCTCTCGACCAGGTCCTCAGTCACTTTATTCATTGCCGTGTCCGGTCGGCGAACGTACACGTAATCTTGGTCGCAGACCCGATTTCGAGGTCTTTATGATCAAGTATCTCATGGCGATGATAATTGGCATCACCAGCAGCTTCTGGCTGTGGTCCAGAAAAACACTAACCAGTTGGCGACAGTTTTTTTATCACTTGCGAGGTCGTCGTGCCGAGGCCTACGTTTGAAGTGGCAAGGGCGTTTACTCTTACACAGAAATCATGTACTTTTTTAGTCAAGATTAAATCAGGTAATTTCTTTTAAATAATCATACCTATATTGTGTGACGGAAGTTTTGGAGGACTCAGATAAAAAAGCTGTATATCTATTTTTTTCTTATTCCAATATTACATTTCTTGAAGATGCGTATTCTTGTAACTAGATATTTGTATAATCGAAGAAATAAGAGAAAGATGTTAATCATGTGTGGAAAGAAACAATATTGTCTCTTATGATGACGATCATGAAATGACATGTTGATTCAATAAGTATAAGATAATCGCACAATTACTAGCAGAGAGGTTCGCCAGACTTCCTATTATTAAAATATTTTGCATAATAATAAACCATCAGTAAGGACATGATTTCAATTAAAAGTAGTAAATTTTTATTTGCTCTTAACAAGAATTTAGAGCTTGTTTATGATTTGGACATTAAGTACAAAAAAATTCTTTCATTTAAATATTGAAATTTTTATTTATATTTATATTAGTTATTAAGCATTTTATTTATATTCTAGTTTTCGGGAATTCTTAATTAACAGTAATCAAATTACTATGAATCAAAGTTGCAACGATGTTTTGCAATTTATATTACGTTTATAGTTTCCTTTTTCGTGAACAATTGCAATAATACACTAATGTGTATGTGTGTACACTGTGCCAAATAAGTTTTTTATAATACTCTTTTAATTGTTTGGATTGTGAATGTTAACTTAGTTTTAAATTATTACACTGTGTAAATTTTTTTATTTTTTACGCAACAGTTTTAGGCAACTTCTGTGTTTCGCTAGCGTAATCGTGTTCTTTCGTTCGAAACACGTTTCATCAAATCCATGTTTATATTTAAGAATCTTGCTTCCTTACTGTAGCTATGTTAAATTATGATGTCAAAAATGAAAAATTATGTGAGCGATCTTTTTTCGTTTTTGACGTTACACTTCGATATGATTGCAGTAATGTGCATCAAAAACAGCAAGCCAAAATTGCTCAAATGTCGTGGCAGACAAATAAAATGCTTCAAAAGAAATTTCTAAATCAGTTACAGTAGTACTTTGTTAAGAAATCGAAATCTTTTATACTTTATTTTTATTAGTAATTTTTAGTTTATCAAATACTGAGTAGCCGAGATAATTTGTGACTTCTTCCAAGAAAATAATCCTGCTTTTGATAAATAATTTTAAACTAATGAATGAAATAAATTCGGTTGTAGGAGCCGTTTGCAGGATGTTGTGCAGAGAATGTGCTTAAATATATATATATATGTATACACATATATACGTCAAAATAATTTTTTTCCTCCATACTACAACCGAATTTATTTCATTCATTAGTTTAAAGACTCCGGAGCCCGAAGAATCTTCTTCTTGTTTATTATTAATTTATAAATAATTTTCTCTGGAATCAAAGCTTCAAGTTTTGTGGTTCTACTGCAATTGAAAACAGGGAAAGAGAGAAATTCACTATAAGTAAAACAGAGATATTTACAAAGTTGAGTTCTAATAGGAGGTTTGGTTCGGCACTAGTGCACTAAAGATTGTCATATACACGAATTGACATAAGTATATATATATACAGGGTGTCCGACAATTATTTTAACATTTCTCGTAGGCAGGTAGAAGGAGTAAAACTGAGTCGAAAAGTCCTATACCATTTTACGAGATTCGCAATACTTACCGAAATCTTAATTAACAAATATTTGCGAATAAGAATGCACCAGGCTGTCTTGCGCGCTGATGCATGCTTATATTCGCAGATATCTGTTGATTAAGATCTTGGTAATTATTGCGAATCTTGCAAAATCATAGACATACAGATATAGACTGAATGAAAACAGCGATCGACAGCGTCGCGAGCTCGTTACCTCGCAATTTTCAGTCTATAGTTCTAAGTCTATGCGCCAAATAGTATAGGACTTTTTGACAATCAATTTTACTCCTTTTACCTGCTTACGAAAGATGTTACACCAATTGTCAGACACCTTGTATATATGTATACACGTGTGTGTGTGTGTGTGTGTGTGTGTGTGTGTGTGTGTTGTGTGTTGTGTGTATAGCACATAATACATGTAATCAGTGTAAGTTATACATTATTGCATTATTTAGTAGAATATGCATATACATATATATACATATATATACACATACATATTGTTGCACTTTGAACATCGTATATGTATTTGTTGCTTTGTGATATATGTTGTTGATTTGATTGATCTCTGAATCTTGGCTTGGAGTTGTCAAGATGTACTACACAGGTGCCCTACTAGAGCGTTGCACTTCCATCGTGTTCACTAGCGACAAAATGAGCCCAGTAGTTATCCAAATTTGGATAAGCTTATGGCGCAACGATCTCATCTCGCAGTCCATTTTGCCTCTTCCAATTTTCGACAGCACGTCGCATATACTGCGCGCGTACTAACGAGTCTATTCCTCCTAAGAAATGACCGTTCTCGCGGGAAAAGACAATAGATAAGGCCGAAAGATTTTTTATTTTCAAGTTCGAAGTATTAGGACAGAAGATAGGCTGAATGACAGGCACTGAAAATAACACTCACTAATGTTAAGGTAATAATCAAGCAGTAACCGTTTATTTCAAATTCACAGTCGAGTCTCGAATAATCGATTTGCGTGTTACAAGCGCGGCGACTGAAGAGTCTCTGCTCTAGCACGTAGCCGGAGCAAGTCCGTACAGCTCGTTAGCTACGAGCTATACGACCGCTAACGAAATAACTCGAGTATACAGATAACCGAATTTCATCTTTTATCTTACATTCCTGACTCTACCCTTCTTGTTACAAGCGACACGTTCTCAACTTAAAAGGCGTTATAGACGCAGAACCCTGCCCCACAGCCTAACTTGGCCACCGCATCCCACCGACCAACAAAAGCATGGGTATTGTCTCGCTGTTTGTCTCTTCGCCAGGATCTGATCAATAGAATTGACCGCTCATCTTGCACTGAAGAAGTCAGTCAGTGACTCATTACTTGAAAAAGTTACTTGCATCACTTTAGAAAAATCCCTATCGATAAAACGATATGTTTTTTAGTAGTGCCTTCTTTTTCTATCCGTGTTTCTACTTTTATTCGCGGGTGCCTTATCCTCATGATAACCAACAGGTCATCAACCTCTATTCAATTAAGCCTCTGGCAAAATAAACAGAGGCGTAATCTTCAAATGTCTCACGTAAGCACTGTGTGCTGAAAAAGATTCTTTCTAGCATACGTGAGACGCCCCCGGTCAAAGTCTTTTACCTGTGGCCTCACTTCATATATTCTGGAATCTGTCCAACACGAAGATATCAAATTCTTTACCACCTATCTTCCGTAGAAAGTAAAGCTGTTTGATAGTCTTTGTCATGACGGCGAAGACTATCTTTCTGGAGCGGTTGTATACATCAACGAGGAATGATGTTCTTATAAAAGGTTTGTATTTGGAATGCGCCTCCCCCTCTCCTTCGTCTCTTCTAAATATGAATACATCAAAGATCTTCAGCCCGTAGACAAGTGGATAATCCAGATGAGATAAGACCCATATGTTACGGCCCACAATGGAATCTAGCACATTAGCGCACAAGCTAATAGTAACCACCTCCTCTTAAGATAAGTAAATAAGGTCGTTTTCGAGCACAAACTAATTGGTATGTTATTATCATTCAAATATTACATAAAATACATAAAACATATGTGCGAAACGTTTCGATCTCACAACGGAGACTTCTTCAGTCGCGATTAAATAAAATATGTACAAAAAAGAAGCGCAGGAGTTTCTTAAATTTTTTTCCACATATTTCCCGCAGGACACGCGTTATGACGATAGGATAAGTCATACATTACAATAGCCGCCAGATTGACAATGGGAATAAAATGTGAGTCAGCTTTCCGTTGCGTGAAATCAACTTGTGAAAGCTCCTCTTAAGTTAAAATCCCAGAAAATCTTCTCGGTTGGGTCCCAACAGCATGCGACCATCTATCTGAAGAAATTTATCTACATATCTCCAGTTTACGACTACATCCTTAAAATTCTATACACAAGCACTATCTGAAGGCGCGTACTGGAGGTAGGCGCGAACTGTTTTTTTGGCAACACCCAGTCTACCCAGTTTACCTGTTGGCTGTATGAATCTCCGCTCGCGCATGTCATTGTATAAAGTAACTCTGAGACCAAGCTCTCTCTAATCTGATGTTGATGGAGTTGATGCTGTTTGGGGCTGCTCCTGCTCCCCTGACAACATAATTGAAGATGTTATGGCTTTTGTTTAGGTTAATAAGGCCACTTTTGTCCTTAGGAGCCTTAATCATAGCTTCTATATCGATAATAACTATTTTTTCATGGTTCTTGTTGCGATCACGCTCTACTGCGTAGCATACCATGTCTTGCCCGAGATAGCCAACTGCTGAACTTCCGGCTTTAAGGGTCCAAATTCTTTACACACTAGCACACCTTTTGCCCCGACCATCTTATGAGATGTTGTGATGACCGCTACGTTACTGATATTCTTTTCCCAAGCAACGAATACATATACGATGTTCAAGGCGCAACAATATATATATGTTTATATCGGTTAAAAAAACTTATATTTTTACACTTCGTTAGATCAATGTACAGCAAGCTTTAATCCATTGCGTACTAGTGCATTCAACCAAAAGCTCACTAAGGATTAAAACTTGAAAAAGACTAAACTCATTCTACTAACCATCAAGTACATCTTGCATTATCCTTTGATTATTCAATTTCATTGATAGAAATTGAAATCCTATTTCTCGTAATGTTTACGAGATGCACTTATACATAATATAGAAACACTCAATAATACTCAAACGAAGACTTTGGTGGCTTATGCCAGCTATATATTTTTTTTTACATGTGTATTCGTTAAGAATCTATTTTGACAATCGATTTTTTTCGCGCGATTAATCTATTATCTAAGAAAGTATTAAAAGTAGATTGCGATGTTGAACGTCGAGATTGAGTTTCGACGGAATCTCAACGAGATTGACTTAGTAAAATTTTATATTAGCTTGTAAGAAATGTATTACTTTAGGTTATAATACTGATTGTATATATACTTATATCTTTTTTTATATAATATTCTCTTTGTATTATATTTTTAAGAAACATTTATTTTTAAGAAACATTTTCTGTATATATATATTACATACAATATTTTACGCATGATCAATTATATGTGAATGACAAACCGCAAATTCGTCCAACTGAAACTGCCGAGCTTTTGTGTATGAAAACATTTCATTCTACAAGTACGGTATGTGTAGGATATTATTATACATTATAATATGTATGCGCGCAAGAGATATGAATATGTAGACTCTGTTCTACGCGATATATACATATATATACAGGGTGTCCGTGAAATTTTGACACAGCCGAAGTATGGAGATAGAGTGAGTGAAACTGAATCAAAAAGTTATTTGCCATTTTGCGAAATTTGCAATAGTTAATGAAGATATAAATGTGAGCCAATGTGAGCGCGTGGAAAGCAATAAACCTGACTCTATAGAAGTGTGTGATTGTCATCAGAGTAACGAGGGGCGGAGTTAAGAAGGGTTCCAAGCTCGACAGGTGGTCTTACCTGATTTTACGGTCAATCGATATTCGGCGGTACACAGCGAAGCAAAGGGTTCAAAGGGAAGAAGCCCTGCTCTCCGCGATCAGCTGACTGATGATCGACGCAATGTAACGTTGCAAACAGCGAGCTGCCGCGCGCGTTAAAAATTAATAAACATGGTTAATAATATTTTTATTATGGTTATTTACCATAATATTTTTTACCATAATAATATTATTAAAAATAATATTATTAAAAATAATATTATTAAAAATAATATCATTTAATGTTATTTGGACGAAAGAGAGAAATGCGAGCAGCGATATCATTTCCACATCACCTTGCGGTAAATAGCACGGTGCGTTTTTGTTTTAGTGGTTTCCCCGGGAGGCCTACTCCACTCTCATTATTTAATTCAAGAATTTTTATTTCATTTACTGTTCAAAGTGTCGTCCTTCTTCTCGTAGACAAAGTTCGGCTCTTCGAACAATGTCGCGCGTTGCACTGTGTGCCATTTCCGGCGTAATGGTATCGAAGGCCACGACAATAGCTTCACGTACTTCAATTTCTGTACTATCACACCGATATTCTACTTTTTTTTTTACAAGGGGAAATCCTTTATGGATACCCTGACCTGTAAGGGCAGGCCAAGGTTATGTGGGACTTGCCAAAAAGGCGTACCCACTAAAGCCCCTTGAGGCTTCTCGTGTGCGTTGGGGAAGGGGCCTGGAAAACTAGAGGGCTATAAAACATCCCGATCCTCCTCCCGCGCCTGAGTGCTACGCAGCACCTCATCCCCTGCGGCAGAAAGGAGCCTATCCTTTTCTGCCGACTCCTATGTTCGCGTGCAATGTCCGAGAAAGCCCTCACTTTCCCGGACTGCGAACCTTGAAGTTCCTCTTACGCAGAGAGTTTTCCGCTGACCCGCCTTCTAGCTACCGGCTGGCCCTGGCGAAGCCGTTCTGCGTCTTCTTTGGCGCCCTGTACTTTTGTCACAATCTGGGTTAAGTCATCCAGATGTGCGGGCACTCTATCCAGGTTTTAAGGACCGGACCCACTGCTTCCCTAACTCTTCGGCCATAAAGGCTCGGGTCCTTCAGCCGGCGGCGCCACCGCCGTACCATCTTGTCCCAGGCGCGAATGCGAGCTTGCCGAACCTCCTCCGGGTTTATGTTCCGGTTGTTTGCGCGCGCCTGAGTCATCGCTCTCTGCCTAGCGACGTACACTTCCGCGTATTGGGCTGCCATAAGGTCTACTGGCGGAATGTGCGCCAGCACGCGGACAGCTTCCAGGGCCGCCGTGCGGTAGGCTCGCACCACTCTACTTCCCACAAGACTTTGGACAGACGCTAGCGGAGCAGCCGCGCGACCCACCTTAACCTCCCGGTACCATATCGGGGCCCCGTACATTATTACGGAGTGTACGACATTGGCGTACAGCTTCCGCATGCTTTGCCTGGGTCCCCCGAGATTGGGGAGAAGTCGGCTTACGGCCGATTTCTTCATATCTCTCGATAGCTATACTCCGGATAAATTCCTCTGAGAACCAATAAAGAGAACCAATAAAGAGAACCAATTTTGGGAGATATCTTCTAGATAAAGTTATCGAAAACTTATCTAGAAGTGAAAAAATTGACTGCTAGTGCCCCCGCTATTCTCCGGGCCTATCCGTTACCCGGACTGTTGGAGGAAGTAGGAGAGGAAGCTGTGGGTGATAAGGAGAATGCGGAGCATGTTACTGCATGAATTCTTTTATTATAATGCGACGTTCAAATGCGTCAGGAGTATAATTTTTGAATTTGTACAATAAAATTGTGTCGACGTTTGAGGTTATCCAAATATGTGTTGCTTTGGATTTTTCGTACCCTCCTTTTATGGGTACTTTGTATGGGTAGCGGTCGGTTATCTTTAGTTTTTTTTTTAGTTCGTCGTATTTAATTCAGCCGTAGAAGTCGTCGATGATGACGCACTTGTGTTGTTCGTATCCGTCCCACCAATCTCTTCTGAGTTTGTTTGCCACGTACTCAAAGTGGGCCCGGAAATTCCACTTCTCGTCAACCTGCAACCCCTGGTACTTCACGACGGGCTGGGTACTAACCCTGGTTGGCCCAACCCGGACGGTCACAGGACCTCCTTTTCGCCGAGGAAGATGGAACACGCTTCCGTTTTCGCCGGTGCAAGGGCTAGGCCCAGCGACTCCATGCGACGTCCCACCGCTGACACCGCTAAAGAGGCTCGCTCCGCCGTCTCTTGTTCATGGTGTCCACCTGACAATACCAGGATGTCGTCGGCATAACACACGAGCGAACACCCCGGGGAGAGAGGGACTCTCAAGACGGCGTCAAAACACGCCGATATTTTACTAGATTTTTAATGTAACCCCATACAAAAAAATCTAAAACATTTAAATTTGGCGACTGTGGCAGCCAGTTGATTGGACCAGCACGACCCATCCATCTTTCCGGAAAACGCGCGTTTAATATGTTGCGAGCTTGTTGAGAAAAATGCGCAGGAGCTCCGTCGTATTGGACGTAAATTAGACTTGCCTGCACATAAAAAGGCACATCTTCAAGAAGCACTGGCAATTCATTCTCTAAAAAGTTCGCGTAAATTCCCCCACTTAAACGCGGTGGAAGAAAAACCGGACCGATCTGAAAATCGTGAAGAAAAATAATAACATAAAAAATTTATTACTTTATTTTTATATCATTCACCACTTGATTTCTAATTATACCCGTCCATACATTTATGAACCAGCGATATTGAAATGCGCCTGAGCGAATAGCATGCGGGTTTTCTTCCGCCCAATATAAAAAATTATGTAAATTGAAAACGCCATTTGGCGTAAAGATAGCTTCGTCAGTCCACAAAATTAAATCGGGGAAAGAAGCATTCCGCCGATATTGCGCGAGAAAACCTACGCATGTTTTTATTAACAATTACATATAATTTGTTTAAAAAAATATTAAAATTTATTAATAGAATACCTTCGCAAAAGTAAATTCGTTGGTTTTGATCCTGAGGTGAAAGCTGTTGCACCCGTTGATAATGATACGGATGCAACAAATTAACTTGCAAGATATGTACTGCATATCGCAATAAACATAAAGCGTTCGCAACGACACGCACACTGGCCGCAGGATCTTTCTCGAACGCGTCAGGAATGCGTTGTTCATCGCGAACACGTAAGAATAATGCACCAATTGGTCTATGATTATGTACGAGACAACCACTCTCACGCAATTGTTGCACTACACGCAAACTTCTACGTCCTGACGGATGCGCACGTCTGGGAAATCGTTCTGCGTAAATCCGAGCCGCGGCACACGCATTTTCTCTTGCTAGCCCGTAAGCCACTATCATATCAGTATATTCTTCTGGAGTATACCGCATGATTGTTTATAGGAAATCACTAAAACAAAAACGCACCGTGTTATCTACCGCAAGATGGTGTGGAAATGATATCGCTGCTCGCATTTCTCTCTTTCGTCCAAATAACATTAAATAATATTATTGAAAATAATATTATTGAAAATAATATTATTTACCATAATAATATTATTAACCATAATAAAAATATTATTAACCATGTTTATTAATTTTTAGCGCGCGCGGCAGCTCGCTGTTTGCAACGTTACATTGCGTCGATCATCAATCAGCTGATCGCGGAGAGCAGAGGCTTCTCACCTCCCCTCGAGCGCTGCTCGCTTCGCTACGAATCGCCGAATACAGATGTATGCCAGATGTATGCCATTAATCTTATACTGACAATCATACACGCCTACAGAGTTAGGACCATCGCTTTCCACGCGCTCATTGGTTCACATTTATTAATTCATATCTCAATAACTATTGCGAATTTCGCAAAATGGCAAATAACTTTTCGATTCAGTTTCACTCACTCTATCTCTATACTTCGGCTGTGTCAAAATTTCACGGACACCCTGTATATATAAATATATATACATATATACATAAAAGTTTATGATCACTATATTCTTTATATAATAAACGAAATGCATATATGTGTGAAGTCACTGCTTTGCTTTCATCCAATATTTATTTTGTGTATGTATATCTGTTTTTACAGATAAATAGTGTTTATATTTACAGATTATATATTTACTGTCACCTGGTTTGTGATTTCTTTACAAAATTATCGTGTAATATTCATATATATTAAAAATATATAACATAACTTCCTACACCTTTTGTGGGCATATATAAAATTATTTATATTCTTAGAAACTACTAAACAGAATATTAAGACAAATGTGAGCCAAACCACAAGATGTATGTGTTATTTATTAAATATAAAACCAAACGTTTTGATCTCCTTATTTGGATCTTCTTTAGTGTACAAACTATACTAATAAATTGAAATAAAAATTTAATAGGCCCACATCACCGACCCGATTAGATAAAACAGTTACTATACCAGAATTATAAAAAGAATAATTATTATAATAAATTACTGACCATAGCATACTTATAATGTAAATTATAACTTCGCCCCTTTCCGGTAAAAGAGACTACCAAATCCACTACAAGTAAATTTTACAAAAATGTACATAAGTATTGTATTACGAGTGTGCTGATCAATCTGTTAATTTTTACTTCAATTTATTACTGTAGTTTATACTAAAGAAGATCCAAATAAAGACACCGAAACATTTGGTTTTATATTTAATAAATAGCACACACACGCATATTGTGATTTGGTTCGCATCTGCCCTAATACTACATTTCATCTTCTCGCGAGCTTATTCAATTATTAGAATAACCTCACTATATTTAATTATTAGAAATTATTTTTTGCAAAATCGTAAAAAAAAAGATACAAATCACTTTTTCTTCAAGTTACCTTTCTTTAATAATAAATTTCTGTTCACCGATCGAGTTATATAGATGTATAAATCAATACTGTACACATTATATATAACACTTTGTAAAAAATTCTAATCCTATCTGGTAACATCAAACTTTCATTATCACTTTTGGCGATTAAGATGTTTTTTCTGTACAGATACATATATTACTTTTGCACAATGTTTTTTTAATGTTACGATTTTTATTAAACTAACCAAGAAAACATCTTTAAAAAAAAGAAATTATCATGAATGCTTACGAAGATGGAGATGACGATTTTGCTTTTGGTTTCTTGAGCAAGCCAATCCTTCTCAAATATCTTACGAGTATTGGGGTCACGCCCAACGTTATCGATATACGGACGGGTGCGAGTAATTTATGAATAGTGTATGCTAATATGAAGTCCGTTGAAGTTTTCATTATTTTGTCGAAGTCTTCATTTCCACCTGTTATCTTTTGCACAAACGGCATCACATCGACTCCGCTGAAATCAATTCATTGTATCATTGCGTAAATAATATAAAACTTCAGATGCAACAAAACAGAAGCTCAATTCTTTCAATATTGTCGTGTTTATACATGTAATATATTTAAAAAGTTATATAAAAAATGTTATATGTTAAAAAGGAGAGCCATAAAAGTTAAGCACACAATTTCTCAAGAAAGTTGCACACAGTTGAAAAAATTTCAAAATTATCAATTTCTTTTTTAGATAACAAATTATCAAATACGTAATTTTATTGACAAATGATAATATATGTTATGATAAATGTCTAGAAGACACAAAAATGCACAACTTTCGTATAATTCCGTAGAACGCACAACTGACCTAATAACCACCACATAACAGCTACCAAGGCATATCAGAGAGATAGTGATATGAAAGACGAAGAGAGTGGCTCCATAATCCCTCAACATCAGACGAAATCTGTCTCGTTTCGACATCATTGCTATCTTCTGCGGCGTCAACTGACCTTTTTCAGCATCCTTTTGTGCCTCAGAAGCATTGGTGGAGTAACTCATTTCAGTGATATGGATTGGCTGATATGTCACTTGTAAAAGCGTGCTCGTTAAAGTGTTAGTTGCCTTACCTAAGCCACATACAAATTGCCTGATGTAAATCCCTGGCACTAGACAATTGTAAAAGTTTGCTATTTATTTTAAATTTAAAGATTTTGCAGATTTGCTAGCATTAACCGGGAAAAAATGGCAATTTTTTGCAAAACTAAGTCGAAAATGTAGAAGAAATTTTTTGTGCAAAAGTTAGTTTTCACAAAAATTAAAAAAATAATTTATACAATTTGAAAATTGAAAAATTAATATGTTTTATTACTTTCTAATATGCTTAATTGTGATCTCTAATAATTTGTGTCATAATATTTATACATTTTATACAAATGATTTTATATATAATTACTAATATTAATACGTATTTCATCTCAAAGTACAAAATAGAAATAGAATATGCTTCTATGTTGAGTGAAGTTAATCATAATGTGTGCGCAGAAACTAGGCAATCAAAGGTATTTGCAAATGCCTGTGCACAATTTCAGCGCCTTCCCGACGTCTGGTTTAAACAAATTGTCTTTAGGATTTAAAACATAGTAGAAGTCAATATATAAGTTGTAAGAAAAAGCGTAGAAGGGAAAAGCACCTCTACCCTTTTAATCCATTCAAAGGTCCTTCTTACACGACAATTTGCGATAATGCGAGCGCTGCATATCCTCAGCGATGTATTTTCCGTCGCGAGACCACTGTCCACCAGGCATGTTGAGATGCATTGACTTGCCACTTGAGGAAAACGGCTTAGGCACATTGCTTTGCATCGTACCGTTGAGACTGACTGCGCCAAAGCAGTCGTATGAGTCTACGTGACCGTTGTCTTGAATCTTGGGAAAACCTGAAGATTTTCCTGGACACACTGCATTGCCACCATTCTCAGAATACAGAGCAATGTCACGTGCACGCTCTGGTGTAAAACGACCGGTCTCATTGGCAAAGATGTTGCACACATTGCTTGGTAAAGTGAGTGTTGGGGGATCTGGATAATGACGAGTACATGTCATGTGCAGTGTCTGATGTTTCCAATGAGATGCTGCTGGAGTTGCATGCTGAATGTCCAAAATGGCTGTAATTTAAAGAAATATAAAGCAATGTTGTATTGTAATTAAGCAATATATCTTGTACTATGGGACTTATTAACTTTATAAGTTTTACAAAAATGAGGAAATAGATATAAGTATAAAAGAAAACATTAGTATATATAGTATATTATGAATATGTAGAAGCAAAGATTATCATGTAAAAAATGTACTTGTAAAGTTATCATGTCAAAATATGACATTCATATGTTCATTACTGCTGCAACATTTGATATTATAATGTAATAGGAAAAAGAATAAATTATCGTGCGATGAATGCCACAATTTATAAATATTGTATAAAGTACACATATAATAGTATTGTACGTAGTATGCTAAGATAAAATATTAAAATATAAAAAAACACTGACATTAGCATTAGAGGCATAGCTTTTTATTAAAATTCTAATCGTTTATATATATATATATATATATATATTACTCAATAAAATATTATTTCAATGTGTGAAAAAAAATGTTATAAAATCGCTTGGATAATTAATTTTATGTTATAGAAAGTACCAGAATTTCTCACAATTAAAACAAATATGTGTAACTATGTAAAAACACTGTAATAATGGACAGTTGAAAATGACAGATTCCAACAAGGCAACAATTTTTTTCTTTTTATCAGAAATTAATTCGTACTTGTGCGTGAGACACGAGTCAAAGCGCCGAGCGTATCCAAGGTAGTGATTCTCGATAATGCCATTGTCGGATTGTTTTGTTTTTTCAATTACATGCGAAAAAACAGTGAAATTAACTCCACCACGAACACCGTCGGACTGATACGTGCGATCTACTGAGCGGACAGACTATGTACAAAATAACACAAAGAATAATCTCGAAAACGTAAAAAACAATAAATAAATATTCATCAGCAACTATATAACACGTCGAGCCAGTGTTGTGCTCGGCAAGCGAAGTATCTAAAAAGTATCTTATCGTTGCAATTGATCTTTATCTAATCCGGCAAGAATTTAAAAGGCCGATATTCACAATCAAATCTTATATTTATCTTCTTTAATATGTATCGTCTCAAGTTTATCTCAAGATGTTATACAAGCCGTTTCATTGGACACAAACTATCTGAGAATAACCTTAAGACAATCTTAAATACAAGATCTCGCGTGTGTGTGTGTGTGTGTGTGTGTGATAGATATGTGTACACAGCAACGTGCGAGTTTTACGATCTGTAATATATCGAAAGTTTGATCATTGTTTCCGCAGCGGGTCTGTGTGCCGATTGTTTTTTCTCTTTTTCACCAATCATTCGCGCGTATACGAGTATCTTTTTTTTAAGTGCAGCAAGTTTAGATTGGTTCAGGAACGAAAAGCAAACCAGGCGTATTTCGTTTTGCGGTTGTATGAGACGTGGTGCGCACGCGCGACCACATCCGGATGTGTATGTTGTTCGTCACAGTTTGTCGTTACATACGTTACGGCTATTACATTGCACAATTTCTTGCGTCTTTTTAATAGCGCGCGCTAAACGGCTAACGGCATTTGTGGCGGTTCTCACAACTTACACACAAACAATCATCGAGTCGAGGATTTTTTTTTAGTCAGGAGAGAAGCGATACAAAAAGCGGAACGAAATCGTTTCGATCGTATTCCGTGTGACCGATGCGGAGACTCGACGCGAGTCTTCACAGTTCATTCGAGCATGCAAGCACAAGAAACCGAGGGTGCAGATGGTAAGCGAGAATATACGCATCTTTCACACTCAAATCCAAATTATTTCCGATCGATTATACACTGTTGTTCCATGCGAAGTCTCTGATTGTTCGATTTATCTCTTCGATTGATTGATATAACCTCACATTGCACGTATCGTTGTACATGTAATTGCGGTCCTGTCATTTGTATGTTGCACACGCATCATCTCGAAATGTCTCTCAAACCATTTAATTATTGATCTTGTTTTTTAATTTATTTCAAGATACATATAAGTGCAAACATAAATATAATAATATAAATTTTTTAGAAGAATGGAGAAATGTTTTTCGAGTTCTTGCTTTTTCAACTGTTTAGTTTTCAATTTTTACTTATATATTTATTTATTTTTTATTTAAGTTGCAGTAATTTAAATGTTAACAATAATTTGTGACATTTTATTAATAAATATGTTGTACAAAAAATATGATATTTTTTCTCAGGCTCTCCATGGAACAACTCAAGTGGTTGCGATGAAGATCGCAGACCAGCACAAAAGGAGGGTAAAAAGTCAAACGTGTTACCTCTGTGGGGCAACGAGAGGACTATGAATTTGAACCCTTTGATTCTCACCAATATACAGTCATCACACTATTTTAAGGTGAATTTATACGAACTCAAGACATACCACGAAGTGATTGATGAGATCTACTATAAGGTCTCACATCTGGAACCGTGGGAGAAGGGTAGCAGGAAGACTGCAGGTCAAACTGGCATGTGTGGAGGCGTGAGTATGTTTTCTTGGAAAAAAAAGATTTATACCTTTTGATATATCTCTCCATCGTTTTTTATCTTCTTTTTAATCGTTGATGTGTTTGTTGGAAGTCTAAGGTTTGAGAGAGACAGAATTGTCGCATTCTCGCTCGCACAGAAAACTGATCGTAGAGCACTAGCTGGCGAACCAGTAGGCAACGTGTCGAAACGAAATAGCAAGGTGAAAATCGAAAATCGACGTATGCAACGTCCAGGTCAATGACTGACGTTGATCTGGACGAAGTGATGCGTCATAAGAGACATTGCTTGCTATTACAGGAAATTTGAAAATCGAGCACCGACAGAGCCTATGTCTGCTCTCGCTCTCTCTTTCACTTAATTGTAACGTTTATGCTTTTATTACAGAGTAGCATGTATTCGGTTCGTTCATTGTTAGAATAATACGAATGTGATTTAACTGACTGAGGGGGGTGTAAATTTAGCGGTTCATGCAGGTTCGAGGTGTCGGAGCTGGAGGGATCGTTTCCACGGCTTATTGCCTTCTGTACAAATTGTTCACACTGAGGCTAACCAGAAAGCAACTGAATGGACTCATTAATCATCCAGATTCGCCGTATATCCGTGCTTTGGGATTTATGTACATTAGGTGAGTTTTTATTGCATCTCGACTTTGAATATTTTTTTTTAGACATTATTTATGCTTTCTTAGAAAAAATAACAGACATAATTATAGACAAAATGCAATTAAAATTCCTTGCAATTGCCTTCTATTCATACATAATACAAGTGGTTTTCTATGTAATTATTCAAATCGTATAAGTTATATCATCATTGCAATTAGATACACACAACCACCGGCAGACTTGTTCAGCTGGTATAACGATTATCTGGAAGATGAGGAGGAGCTAGATGTGAAGGCGGGAGGGGGACAAATGATGAAGATAGGCGACATCCTCAAGCAATTTCTCACCAAACTCGAGTGGTTTTCCACACTGTTTCCTCGGATACCAGTGCCTATTCAGAAGGACTTGGAGCTGCGACTGGCTGAGCGATTTCCGCAGCAACAAGTGAATTCACGCAATGCTAAGCCGCCAATCACGCTCAACAGTCACAGCAAATACGGCAGTAAGGATAACCGTAAGGACAACGGGAATTTGACATCCCGTAACCAGCCTCGACATATTCTCGACAGCGAGGTTCAATGGGGTGAAGCCGAGCGTACGAGCCACTGGCGTGCCAGGTGCGTCTACGTGGTATGAATACAACGATCACGTTATTTAGTTATTGATGCTTGGTTGCCAAGTCTCTTGAATTATCATGTAAAAAAATTACTTTTTTTCGAGCTCGAGACAAGATCAAAAATGCGGAGAAAGACTTTTGGACATTTATTAATTTTTATACATGTGTGTGTGTGTGTGTGTATGTGTGTTTGTGTTTATTAAGCAAAGATGTGAAGAGAGAGAGAGAGAGAGAAATAATTCTCCCGCACGCAGATCGAGTCTCGCAGTCGAGACAGTCAATGTCATACTTCCGTTCGAACATTTTTTCTTACAGATCTGACGAAGATCGCAAGGACAAGAACAGGGAACGGGATCGAGAGCGAGACAGATTGCGCGAACGCGACAGAGATCGTGTTCGCGAACGGGATCGCGAAAGAGATAGATACGGCAAAAGATCAAGCAGCCGCGATAGAAGTGGACGACAAAGAGATTACAGAAGTCGCAGCAGAGACAAATCGTATAGAAATCGGAGCAGGGAACGTCATCGTGACAGAGACCGACATCGGGATAGGTAAAGAAACAAGACATAATAACAGAGAACTCTCGAAAAACTTTTATCGATCAGTATTAGATGTTTTGGTATTTCTATTTTACACAGGTTCTAAAAGGATAATCATTTCGATTTTAGAAGAGGCTCGCCATACGATTACGCCACGGAACTGGCACGTGAACGTGAGAGGCAACGAAGAGATAGAGAATGAGAGTCAAGGATATAACACAGCATCATGTACATATTTACTTATTTGTATGAACTCTCTGTAATAACTAAAGAAGATTTAAGAGAAAAGAAAACAACAACAAAAGAGCTACAAAACCGAGCCATCACCACCATTATACATAAATTACCAGCACGCGTATAATTGATGAGTTTCCCGGCGACACTCCCTGAAAAAAAAAAAAAAAATCGAATTATATTAGCCTAAGTTTAAGTCATCTTTGTTCACAAAGTGTGTGTAGTTTACATGTTTTTATAAAATAAACTTACCGTCGCGTATTCCCTTTTTTTTTTTTTTCCTATATTTCCATTTCTTTGGCTTCTACCGACGTGTGCGTGATAAATGCGAGTTTTTTTTTTCGGGAGATTTATCTTGTAACTTTGCACGCTAGAGATGTTTATATTACGAAGTCGTGAAAACTTGATGTTAATTTATGTAGTGTGAGGTAATACCGCAGCATATGTAGAGAAAAAACAAAAAATCTATGATAAAAGAAAATTTTATAAAAGAGAAGAACTTCAGATGGCGTTACTGGATGTTTGCTCGAGCGTACTCCATTTCGACTGTACAAAGTCAGAAGTTGCATAACCGAGTAAACTGATCGGGCGTGTCGCTGTGGTGCATTTTAGTTGAGCAAAAATTAAATGGCGGTTATACTAGCGTGTGGATGAGATATCGGTAACAGTCAGTGAATCATGAAAGAAACGCACATTGTCAGGTGACAGCAAATAAGTGGCCAATTACTACAAGGTAACAAAACAAACATTCTGATATATTTAATGTTTATTATTAGAAATAAATCAATGACACCAATATTTATTAAAGTATTACACCATATGTGTGAAGAAAAAAAAAACAATAATTTAATTTTAAAAAATTAGGCAATACACGTTTTTTTAATCCTTGACTATATAAGCATAAACTGCTAGTCAATATTTTCATGTTGTAATAGAGATTAACAGCGTTTTCGTCGTCCAAGTGGCAGAAAAGTGAAACAAAAATAAAACAGAGACGGAAGTCACATATCACTTGCGCAAGATTTTTTACTAGATATAATATATTTACAAAATTAACACAAACAAAGTCAAAAATTATAGTTTTATAAACATGTATAATTTTACAGTTTTGTAAACATATATAAACATATATTTTTACGCAAGAAGACTTGCTATTACATTCTATTATAAAAGAACAAATTTCTTTAACTTAAAAAAAAACAAGAACATGCGCACACACACATATTTAAAAAATAAAAAATTATGATTGAGATAATTGTTATAATTACAACGTCATTCTACATGACTGACTTTTAATTTTTTCTTAAGTATTAGTTAATTTAATTTAATTCAATTTAATTCTGAATTTAATATTTTCTTATAATTTTATTTCTTGTTTAAAAAAATATTAGTCTTATTATACTCAGTTCAACCTCCTGTATTAATAGATATATATTTGATAAAAACATTTCTATTTGCCGAAAATCTCGGATTGTTTTATTAAAAGAAACGTCATAATTGCGTGCAAATCGAAAAAACATACAAGCAGATTTCTTAAGTTCTTGTTCTAAAACGTAACGTCTTTTATTATATGCCAATAGATATTACACGATAAAATATGTTCAATGTGCCATAAAAAGAGGCTCAAAATGTTTCTATTCTCTTAAAAAAAAAAAAAAACACTGCAACGACGCGTGCGAAGCGAAAAAACATTGCTGGCAGTTTTTTCAGGTTCTTGTTCTAAAAACTAGCGATCTTATTATATGTCAATATATATTACACAATAAAGAATGTGCACTTTGCCACAAAAGAAAGAAACTGAGATTTTTCTTTATAGAGGTTTTAGTATTTTAAATTCTAAATTATTATTTATTTTTCAATAATTCTAAGTAAAAGTTCTAAGATTCACAAACATTATAGATGATTGGCCGACGCTGTACTCTTTTTGCTTTGAGTATTCTCCTGATCCTGATTGTTGGCGTGAACGTATACTTCATACGGATAATAGTGGAGAACTCTTCTTCGCAGAAGAAGTTACCGGAATTGAAAACTAAACAGGACACATTGACATCTTCATGGACTAATGAAAAAAAATCAAAATTGAAACGCATGGTAGATGACATAGACATCAAAATTAAGGAAAACATTCGTCTACTTCCTTCCAAGTATTTTAAGCAGAACACCAGCTACGTCCTAGTTCTAGAACGACTAGTAGCCGAGCTGAAAGTAATGTCAATTAATGTTCGTGAGGATATCTGGAATCTCCCCAATAACCATGTTAGTTAAACATCTTTTTTGATACTTTATAACGCTTGAAGAATTGTACATATAATGCTTGTTTTTAATATAATTAATTACAATATTAAGTAAACAAGAAGTTTATAATGTAAAATCATAAATGTTAGTTGCACGCACGTTTTATGTATAGTGGCCCAATGCGCATCAACTGATTCCACCAGCAGCTCCGGAACTGGGAACTATTTTGGAAGTTCTGCGAAAGTCCAGCGTGTTGCGCGCTGACAATGCTCCATCGGGCACGCAGCTGAAACTCATGCTTCATCTAGAGAATGGTGTGAGAGCGTTATTTAAGCCACAATGGTACTCGAGAAATACTATTTTACGTGGACCAGTATATCATGGCAAAGATCGCCACAACGCCGAAGCGGTGGCTTTTCATTTGTCATCTTTGCTAGCGTTGCGGAGAGTGCCTCTTACTATTATACGAAAACGTACGTTGAGTTAAATTGAGAAAATTTAAAAGAATCTTTGAGTTTGCAATAAAAAAATTATAGCTCGAACTTTATTATAGAACAAGGATGTGTGTTTTTATAGTTGATCTGAAAGAAGAAGTTCTTAAACACGCGACGCCGGCATTATACGCAACCATGTATCAAAAGAGTAACAACACATGCCTGTACGGTGTTTGTCATTACTGTTCGCCAGCCGATCCTGTTTGCGGAACGGGAAACATGCTGGAAGGTGCTCTTATCTTATGGCTTCCACGATATTTAAGACTGATCAAGCATCGTCACCCTTGGCAACGAACTTATAAGGAAAACAAACTAGCCACGTGGGAAGTTGATGAAAACTACTGTGATAAGGTAATTGTAAGAAATGAAATAAAATGGGCTTTTTTTCGATCATTCGCAAAGCAAAACAAATTGGTTTTAGGTGAAAGATTCCAAGGCCTATTCGCCACAATCATCGAGCAGACTCTTGGACTTGATTGACACAGCAATTTTTGATTTTCTCATGGACAATGGCGATCGTCATCATTACGAACTCGCGCAAAATAATTTTCACAATCCCGCGATATTGCTGATTGACAACGGAAAAAGTCTGGGTAATCCTGATGTAGATCATCTCGACATCCTCGCTCCTCTGTATCAGTGCTGCATGTAAATATAAATGTTTAATTATGCTACTTACTCTGTGTGCGCGCAAAGTGTTGTGGATATAAATTAATTAAATAAGAAATTTTATACAGAAAAGAAAAATGTTAAACAAAAATGAGAAGAAATTAAAAAAAAGAAGTTGAAAATTCCAGGATCCACAAAACTACATGGGACAGATTACGACTGTTCAGCGGAGGTTCCTTGAGTATCGCCTTGAATAGACTCGTTGCACACGAAGCCGCAATAGCAGATGTTCCTCCACTTATCACAAAGGAGCACTTAAGTGCCATGGATAGAAGATTGCTTATTATTTACGCCATAGTAGAAAATTGCTTGAAACAAAAGAAATATTCTTCCAATGTAATTGTAGAATCCAGAAGAATTAGGTTGGAAGAATATTTTTAATTAAAACCACGATACTAGGTCATCGGTAATTTTAGAAAAATATGTAGAATTGTGGGCAAAGAATGTAGATGTAAGAGAAGGGTTTCTACATAAGAAGTAAATACAATTTACACGATTAAGTAATTAATTAGGTAATGGCCTGGTTTGCACCGTTAGCTTAATACGCATATTAAGTACTATATTAAATCGGCCTGATCTCAATAATGTAAACAATGTCATATTAAGCTGGTACGATACGCCTTCTTCACGTGTATCGTATCAAAATGATACGCGTATCAAGCATATTTAAAAAATGACGTAAACGCCAGAATTATACATTGAAAAATATATTTTATATGATTCGCATACCCGAAAACAATGTACGGTGTAAACTAGTCAATAAGAGTTTTTTAACCCTTAGGAGACCGGCAGCACCACTATAGTGGTGCAAACATTTATCGACTATCTTTGACTTATGTATACATATTGTTTATATATGTATATAATATACACGTGTATATATGTATATATTTATATATATTTAATTATATATGTATTTGAAATATATACATATATGTATGAATAAAAAGAATAAAAAAATTAACGAATTATTAAAATAAAAAGTTTTAAATTTAAAAAAATATGTAAAATATATAAAAACACACAAAAAAAAGATAAAGGAGCTACAAAAACTTTCTACGTCCACGTCGTTAGCTCTGGGTAACGCTAAAGGAAAGTTTTATATATCTGCTATAGATTTTTTTAGCGATATTGGTCTAATTATTTAAAATGAAAAAAATCTGACTTTATATTCATAATCAGCGACCTCAAAAATCTTTAACAACATTTCATTTTTTACATTAAACAATTTTTAGTTTTTTTCTCTCCTTTAAGGACCGGCAGCCACTACAGTGGCGTTGAATCAACTTTATAAGTTTGGATAAGATATACAATATATGTGTTAATAAAACTAGGATGTCAATTCTACAAGATTTCAAAAAACAAAATGCCGGCCCTCTAAGGGTTAATAGAATTAATTAATTATACAAATAAATATTGTTTTATACGAAAGAAATCACCTTTCATTCTTTTGCTCAAACATTTCTAATTTTGATATGTCGGTAATAAATCTATATATATTTTTGCTTAAATTTTCTTCACTTTGTTTTTTTACTAGAAATAATGTCGTCAGGGATAATGATTTCAAACTTATAAAAAAAAAAAAAATAGATACCGGGAATAAATTAACAGGAAGCTTCACGAGACAGATTTGAATGGGATTTATTTGATGACACAAGTATTTAACCATTATTTGGATAGGGCGTTTGAAGTGTGGCACTTACTCATTCACACACGCACATATTTTGTCCCACTCTCTCTCTCTCTCTTCGTGTACGTATATAAATACGGTACAAACGTAAAAAACCTGTAAATGTGACTATTATCGTGTATTATTATACGTTGACGTTGCTTTTCGTCGTAGCCAAAGAACATTGTATCACCGATCGTGACACATCATGAAATCCCGCATTATCTCCCACGATTCTAATCCTTCAACATCTGAGATGCGTTTTATTACTCCATTTGTTCTTGATTGTTTTTAAATATGAAGTTTTTATATTTTGTAGATAGAAGTGTCGAAGTTATATTATTAGAAAAATAATCAAAATATTCATTTTTCCACCTATCTCCTAAATGAAAAATAAAAATGACCAAAATGACTAATAAGCATTTCGTTGGTTGACATTTTTCCAATAAAAAAGAAAAATACTTGTCATATTACGGGGAAAATAATATAATAAAATGCTACTAAAAAAAAAAAATAATAAAAAACTAAAATATAACAATTTTAAAAACGTTTTTTTATTATCTGTTCTAGTAATATTTAAACCTAATTATTGCTTTTTAAAACCTTCGGATGTTTTTATACAAGTGTATGTATATATTTCTCTCATTATATATGTAAATATGCGTCTAATATATGTATGTATATACAGGGTGTCCCATAAGTGCCGTACAATCTCTCGTAGGCAGGTAGAAGGAATAAAACTGAATCGAAAAGTCCTGAACCATTTTTTTACGAGAGATTGTACGGCAATTCTGGGACACCCTGTATATGCGTATACATATACATATATAACCGAAACAAAGAAATTAAGCTTTTATCGCGCTAATTGCGAGATTTAACAGACAAAACTTAATTTCAAATGCGAAGAACATTTAAGAAAACATTCTTAGGTAAAAGTGTCGCAGGAGATATTGGGGGTTTTATTTGTGTGTACGTGAGAGACTTTTTGAATCGAATTCGCGCGTCTAGCATAATCTATCTCGCTTTGTGTTTCTTCATATTTACAACGTTACATGACCAGAATTATTCACGTATCTTACGAACTAATTAGAAATTCCATTTTTATATGTATAATATGTATATATATTTATAAATATATATATATGTAGCGCGACACGCGTGTATATGTGTTGCGCGCGCGCTTCTCCTTTCTTTCCTGCGTTCAGGTATAGGTGTGTATGCAATATATACGTGTGTGTTCACGCGCGTGCATACACACACATACATATGCATACTATTTGTATACATATACATATATTATATATCGACATTTTTTTCTTTTACTTAAATAGAGATTTCGTAGCAAAGTATGTATAAATAAACTATCTCTGCACACAGACCGTGATCGCTCGTGTATTCTTTCTTTGTCTATACGAGCGAGAGCTGTCTACATAATATTCGTTCTTGAGATCCGTCTGCGTTTTAGATAATTTTACCTGAAAAATAGTCGGACGAAAGAAGAATCTTTGTTTTTCTCTGAAGATTCCTCAGTTCTCTCTCAAAACCGTTTTCTCTTTTCTGTTCTTTGTCATTAATACTGTATATATCAAACGATGAGATTTGTTTTTTTTTTTTTTTTTTTTTTTTTTTTGTTTGAATTACAATTCCGCGTCTCATCGCGAATAAAAACTGTGTCCCATCAAAATAGAATCTGTATAGGGCAGCATGGAAATTATTGCACCGCGTCTGCTTATTGCACGCGTAACGCTTCTCAAAAAACTCGCAGAACCAAAAGAAATTGACGGGGTCGATTCTAAATTCTCATTCTGTCCATATTTCTAAGAAATCACACAATTATTTCTGAGTTATTTACTGCAACATCACGCAATAAAACATAATAACAAATTTTTTATCTGGAGAATATTGATGTTTACCAAAGAAAATTAATCTTCTTGAGCATTAGCATGTGTTTCGTTGAAAAAAAAATTAAAGTTGTTTTTCTAGTCTTTTAACGTATAAAACTTTTTATTAGTTCATGTGTTATGTATCTTAGTCAATTTCTCTCAATTCATTTATTTTTCGAAGTCATCGATTAAGTTGGTTTTTTTTTGTTTTTGCTGCTTTCTTCGTTAATGTAACAATAATATATATCACACACTTATATAGATGCTAAACGCGTATGAAAATTTTACATATCTAGGCCAGTTTTTAGTAGGCATCTTTCCTTATAGTTTGTTACAAAACTTTAATTGATATCGCACAGTTTTAACTAAACCGGTTTAATAACCGGTGCTTTTTTTGTGACTTTAATTTCCATTTTATTGCATTTTTTATTCAGAGGAGCCCTAAATATGCAATGTTTATTGCAACGATAAGAATTATCGTCAATGTTTAAATCTTACTTTGACCTGAAAGTAATGTGTAGCTTAATGGTAATCCAGAAAGTTTTTCTTCTCTTCGATTTTTAATCTTAGAAATATTCCGTTGTGATAATTTGTTTCTCTGTGATAAGAATAATTTTGTTTTATAATTACTACGCTCGCAGTAATAATAATTTTCGCGCTCTTTCTCTTCCCTGAATTCGGCGATCGAAATGATTTCGAATTTGCTTAATTTTTAGTATCTTTAATTATTGAGTATCTTTAATTTATTGAGCGGGTGATGCAAGTATATGTATTGATCTTTCGGCGATGAGAGGTCGTTCATATTTTTTACTAATTCAAAGTGCCGATTCCACTCCTCTTGATGAAGACGTCGAGCTGCTTAAATCTTCCGAGTGGCGAGTGTGTGACGAGTCCATAGACGTTACCGAATCACTGTCGTTGCTATGTGGACTCGAGTAATTGGCCGCTTCTTGTAATCTCATCAACATGTTAAGCTGCAAAAATAAATAATAATATCGAGAACATTTTAAATATCGATATATGCGCAATATTTCAATAATTTTAAATACTCACTAAAGGATCTCCCTCGGTATCGCTGTGAGTACTTCCGAGACTTTTGACACTAGAAGCACCTACGCCGGAAGTGTGTCCGCTGGAAACAACGTCGTAACCGACATCTTCAGGTCTGAGACGAAGTAGAGCGTCGCTGCCACCGTGCACGGCGTGCGTCGACAACCACGGATAACTGGATGTGATAAACTGCGCTGGATCTTCCCATGTAGGTTCACTGTTGCCATCTCCGCTCACGCGTCTTCCGTACAGTGTCAATCCTTCCCTGACTGCCTCAACCAAATAAGGTATCACCGAGTAATTCCACAAGTCAGTAAACCACACTTGAGAACCGGCTACTTCCATCGGACAAGACAAGAAAAGACGTGGTCCTATATACAAATACACATGCGCATATGTATACATATATATATTTATTTATTATATTTATTATACATAATATAAAGTACTTAAAAAATTACATTTAAAGTTATTGTGTAAACTTAATAAATTAGAAACAAAACATCTTTTCCAATCATGTATTATATATTTTACCTATAGTGACATCGGAGCTACTGTGAGTTTCTAGGAACTTATTCAGATGCAACCACACACGCGGCAACCACTCGACCACCGCCGCCATTTCCGCGTTCCTCGTCCCGGCACACTCGCGCAATTCGTGCTCCAATAATTTTCTTCTCAGATAACGTCCTAGAAATCCCTTCACTGGCTCCATGTGATTTGCGCAGAGTACCCATCTAATATATAGTATACTTTTTTTGACCATCCGAGTTAAAACAAATAAAGCAAATAAGAAAAGTGTAATAGAAATATTAATTAAATTAAATTAAAAATTTAATTGTTTTAGTAGTTAATATTTACTGAGAATTTTCAAAATCTTTTAAATATGTGTTTACCTGAAATTATGATGCAGTTGCAAATTCGTAGTGCTGCAAGTGGCTTGGCTCATGGTCCCAATGATAGCAGGACACACGGAGTGCTTGGTTCCCAAAAGTCCGCTGAAGAGTTCACCCAAGGATGCCGCGTGTTGAAGGTTTTCCAGAATAATCACTCTCGGTAGTTCGGCGGCGTTCGAAGCGCATCTTTCGGCGATGTGAGCGAGATATTGACGCAATTCTTTGCTAGATTTGTGATCGACATTGAAAGTCGCGATGGCAGCGGCGTCCTTCGTGTCATTATCAGCATCTACCAAAGATTGCGCCAATTTTCCAGCTAAGTAACTCTTCCCCGTACCGCTTGGACCGCACAAAATTACTCTGCGATGTTCCGTTAAGAGGGAGATCAGTCGCTGAACAATGGAGCGAGGTATTAGAGTGTCCACCGCCAGCCAGGAGTAGCCTGATAGCACCAAGTAAATAGTCTTCACGTGGCCGACTAAATAGCCACAGGGTAATAGTTCAGGATGCTGTGAGTCGGTGGTGCACCTATAGAGTACAAAGTAAAATCATCGTATAATAAAAGTAAAAGACTGAAAAAAATCTATTTTAGATTTGACTTGTGTGTGTGTGTATGCGTATCCAAATGATGTTTCACTAGTTTCGAAATATCGTGTTTCGAATCATTTCGAATACAAAAATAGGTTTTTTTTTTCAAAATGTATACTACTTATAGTAGTACTTTTATTATAAATAATAAAAACAAAAACGAGAACCAACCTAGAAGCCTCGCCGAGATGATATGCAGCAACGCATTCAACACCAAGACCCAGATTTGTTACGGGATCGACCCGGGAGACATATTCTTTGAAGCAACGTCTCACCGTAGAATCCAGCGCGTCCCAACTGGTTTTGTTGCTGATACAAACGTTGGCGATCACACAGTGAGGCGGTTCGCCCATGGTACCGTCGGCGGAACTGCCAGTAACTAAATTGTAGTTGAAGTTACGTTCACTGCCGAGGTAAACAGCAACGTTGATTCTCTTGCCGTCAGTGTCTTGCTCAAGCACTGGTTCCGAAGTTGTCGTACTAGACGATACCACAGTGTGTTCGACCGCGACATTGAGATCTTCTAGTTGATCGGCCGTGGAGCTAATGTCACCGTTCGACAGTGCCGCGACACTTGACGCCACCTCAGTCATGCTGAAACGTCGATCTGGGTCGCTTGGTAGAGAAGACTGTGAAGAAGTGAGCGACTTGGAGGTCACCAGTCGCTGCAGACGTTCGTTGTTCTGCTTTAGATTCAACATTTCGTACTGAAAGAGAAACGCAAGTTAACACAACGTAAAGAAATGATAAAGAAACAATTTATTTAATATTAAGTGACTACTCACTCTCATCTTGATGACCGTGTCCTTTAAAGATTCTAGTTGATGAGCAGAAGATAACGCTTCTAATCTAATATCCGTTAGCACCAGATCTTTTTCCCTTAATTGCTTCTTCAACTCGTCCACATCCTCATCTTCCTTTTTGTACAAAGCTGAGCTGCTCTTACTTCCCGACAGAGGATTTTCGTGATCCGGAGATTTTTGTCCGTTGCTTCTCGCGGCTTGAACCCTCGCGGACTCGTGTTTGGACGCGGTTGGGAGTCTGGGACTGTTGGGAGCACTCATGTCGCCACCGGGACTATCCTTGCAATCCTCAGCATCGGATACCGAGCCGTGCCGGTTCTTGCGCGATCTCGAGAACGCCTTGGAAAAAGAGCTGCGCAGCCAGCCTTTTTTCTTGTGATGACTGCTGCTGGCCGAGCAAGCGCTGCTCAGTGAATTCAAGGACGTTACACTGTCCGCAGACAACTGTCTAGCCATCGACGCGCCCTGATGATGATTACTGCTGCTGCCGGTGCAACCGGTAGTAGCGGATTCGGAATCGCCTAAGGTATGTCGCCGACCATTGGCCGGACCGTTGTTTAATCCGGCCTCAGCACTCTGCTTGCGCAGCCTCTCGATTGTCTCTCGTAGTTCTTGAAGTTCGGAATCCTAAGAAATTTGTTTTTTTTTTTTTGACGAAATTCTCGATGTGACACACAAGTGTATTTGTAAGTTTTATTATAGCTCTCAATGAAATCCAAAAGTATACAACACATGAAAATTTTAAAAAGTCTTTTTTACATCAGTCAGATAAATGATTAAATCTCTGTATTTGAATGTGTAGTTTTCAATCATTTGTACCTTTTTCTCAGCCGTAGCTGTGAGTTGTTGAAGTCTTTGAGTCATGTTGGACAACGATTGCTCGAAAGCTGAGACTACGTGTGCCTGAAATTAAAAAAAACCACGCGATTTTTAACACTATACGTTGTTGCCACACGCGCGTACATATAATAATATAAATAATGCAAATATATATTATACGCGCGTACATATGTTTTTATAAATAATATATTTACAAAAATATTGTGTGCTCACAAGTAATCCTTTTAAAATAAATTCTTAAGAATAATAGCATTTTTATGTAATGTTTTTTTTTTTTTTAAATTCGCAATCCGAGGTACGCTCGGGATATAATCTTTGTAATTTTCATAGTTTTGATGGATATTAACTTCTTGACACAAAAAAAGGAGTAGTATTTCGTTTCGCTGTTTGCAACAGCCATAATTTCAGTTTTTTAGTACACGTAATATCTTTGTTTCCGCGACGTTAAGTTTTCTTAATAGATAATGAAGAAAAGTTTCCTCTCTTTCTCTCTCTCTCTCTCTCTCTCTCTCATTGAAAGAAGTCTTGGTTTCACGCTTTATTGTGTATCGAGTCTTAACCGAGTGTCGGCCAAGCCGAGGCTGGACGACGCTAAAAACTGGACCGGAAGCCTGCGGCAAAAACGCACGTGCTGAAGAGCGAAATGCACCGAGCGCGGCACACAGTGACGTGCCTTGTTCTCTAGGAAAAACAACGAGCGAGTGTGTTGTGGTGCATCTTGACGAGAACGCACCGCAAGCAGCAAACAGGTCGGCTGACATTTTAAATCCCCAATTATCATCTCTCTTTCAAACTTCTTAATTGTATTTATCGTGATCTTGTGTGAATAGTAAAAAAAAAAAGAAAGAAGAAAGAGATAAGAAAGGAAATACCTAAAGCAGAGAAACAGGTTTTTTTTTTTTTTGTACATGAAATAGTCACAAAAATGTATACCCTCTTTAAGATATAGTCAGAAGACCTAGAAGGTCGTTGATGCGATAAGTCAAGGTCCGCGTAGCTCAACAGCTTCTTGCTATAGATACTTTCAAATATTATTTGCAGCTTGTATAAGTATTGATAAATTAATTCTGTACACTTACATTTTTTATATTACACTTTGGATAAAGATTTATAATCATTTTGCAGTGTCTCACTATATGTACATGAACTTGATACATGTGTAAACTCAAAATAAATACATCGTGAGATAATAAAAATTACGAAAGCAATTTTACATACGTACAAAATGCATAGTTTGCAAAAACCGATTGTTTAATTTATAAAATTTCTCTTATATTTGTTGCAATAATATTTAAAAATAATTAAACCAACAATGATTTTTTGTCAAAAACTGCTAAGTCCGAGAACGTTTGTACAAAAAGTTCTCAGACTGTGGGATCGTTTTGCGCAGAATGCGTTTTTTTTTTTTTTTTTTTTTTTTATCTCGAATTCGTCAAGCAGAAACGCAACCTGTGGTGTTTTATTATCAAATTTCTCACTTCGGCAGCATGAGAAGAGCTAGCCCGGTTACCTCGAGTCGTAACGCTTCAAGGATTATACCAGGTTTACAATGTACGTTATCCCCGTTGTTCCCATCACCCCGGTGTGTACCTTCTCGGTATAATTACTCTCTCGGCAGAAAGGATGGCAAAGCAATAATACGTAATAATTAACGTCACGAGAACTCAATGTCAAGGATTTTTTTCAAATTGCATTCTTATGTTTCATATTACGTTTATATAAGTCTCTTATGTCTTATTTTCTCTATATAAGATATAGTTTACTATATATATAATATATACAAAACAAATTTCTTTCTAAAACATTTTCTTATTATCTCACAAGATATATTATTTTTGCGTCATATTTAATAAATCAATCGAAAATTCAACCGATATAAGAAAAAAACTCGCTTTCTCTTTAAACTGAAACAAAAAGCAACTTTCTTGCATCAATAATCACAGTTTCGTCTCGTGTGAAATCTTTTGATTTTATTTCATTTTTTAACTTTTGCATATTTTTTTATCTTTTATTTAATTCGCGCGCGCCAGAGGAACATACACACACACAGAGCTGATAATATGTTTGCATCTTGTACTTGTGTAGAAATAAAAATTGTAAACAAAAATAAAAATTATAAAATAAACGTTGCAGCAGAAATGCGGATATTAATGTAAAATATTCTTTTGGAGACCTCGAAAGAGACACGAGAGAATCTACAGAAGAAAAAGACACGTGTTTACATACGAGATTCCCGTTGAAGGTACACCCTTGAAACGCATAAATCTTTTTCACGGAGAAAAGGAAAATGTACCCCTAGGAACGAGATAGCTTGTCGCAAGTCCCGTAGTAATGGTTTCACATTCTTTCGCCACGTGTGGCACGTAGACCTTTCGAATATTTCAATCTGGCAGTAAAACAAAAAAAAAAAAAAGAACTAGGAGTTATATCGTGAAAACTCGTCAAGATTCAACGTGATTCAGATTTCTTCGGTAAAACTGGAGTTTCTCTAACTGTCTCGCTTCGAGAAATCTCTTTGAGAAAAAAAAACAAACATCTATTATGACTCAAACATATCCCTCGGCTCTGTGTGTGTTCCTCTGGCGCGCGCGAATTAAATAAAATATGAAAAAAAATATGCAAGAATTAAAAAAAAATGAGATAAAATCAAAAGATTTTATACGAGACGACAAAATACGCACGAAATGTTTGTATCGCGAGAATTTATTGGATGTTCCGAATCGGAGAAAGTACGGCATATGTCTGTAACGTAATGTCGGCTAAAATCAATGCTTTAATCAGCTGTTGCTGAAAGTCTCACTCGAGAGAGAATGAATTGCACAAGAATGAAATATATATATAGGATAGAGAAATAAAAAATTCACTGATTAGTCAACAGTCTTCTGATGTTAGACGGTTGCGTAAGCATTGTGCAAGTTTTATTCACGAAATCTCAGATAATCGTGGGTAGTCGAGACCCTTTTCTCGCCGTTCTCGAATAAATAAAACGAACAATAAACACTTCCTACATGACGCAATCTCACATCAATCACCAATTCTAATCCGATTTACCTGCAAGGACGGGCAGCTGCGATGTCTATACTTTCTGGTGGCTAGTTCCCACCAAGGTATCACGTTTTGATTATTCCGTGGTCTCACGGGATCACTGACTGCGTGTTCGTACAACGGTTCCAAGATCGGTCCGTTGCCGGAAAATCTTCTGACCGGGTCAGGCTGATCCTTCGTGAGACTGCTTCTTCTCGGCAAAGTGGCGAAACTGGTAGAATGGATCTTGTCGCACGATTCTTTGGTACTCAAGGAGTTGTGTCTGGTCTTAGAGAAGTCTTGCAGTTGTAAACCAGACGATCGTTCCAAATGTCCTTTAAGAATCACTTCGGTAGCATCCATATTGTAAACAGGACCTCGTAGAACTGTCGCTAGGTCTTCGTCGGTATTTTGTTCAGGGCTGACGTTGTTGTTCCTTGAACGGGATCTTTGCGGCATGGAGTTCGCGCGAGAAATAACACTTTCTCTGTCCAGCACGTCTTCGCTAGATTTGTGAAGCGGTTTCGACGAGATTCTAAGTCTTCTCGGGGGCAGTGTGTCGTACTGACGGTCCTTCAATCGAGTTTCTAAAGATCGCACATGCTCCAACTTATCAGATATCTTCTCCGATACGTCGTTGGACATTCGTTCCTTCTTCAACAACGGTTTCTTTGTCTGATCGACTCGAGAGCGATTCCTGCGAATCGCACTGGTGATCGACAATCGATTTCTCGGAATGGAAATGTCATCGTCTGTCGAGGACGACAACGAGTCTTTGGATATCGAACTGACCGATTTAATTCTCTTCATCACGTCCTCATTGATATCGGACTTTGTTTGTTCCTGCGAATTGTTTCTTTGCGATTCACACCCGTGAAACGTTTTATTCCACGGTGGAACGTGTTTCTGAGGATCACCGAGTTTTGGCAACTCCGTCAGGGACTCGCTGATCGCGTATAAAGACTCGGTAGACTTGCTCGAGGAGGCGGTGGTGGATCCCGTCGAGTGTCTGGATGTGTTCTCGATGGACGAGGATCTCGGCAGAATCTTGGGCGGAAGTCTACCCTTGGAATTGGGTCTGCGAAAGTACGTGGCATCTTTCTTGATTTCTTTTTCGCTCTTTTCTTCAATGACGTCGTCTATGTCAGTCGTGATAGGCGGCATCGGCGCCATGTCTCTCTTCCTGACATAACCGCATAGACTTTGCAACAACAATTCACCTTTGGCGATTTTATTGATCACTCCGTAAGTCCCGGAACTCTCTTTGTTCACGCCCTGGTAATGTCTCTTGTCAATCTCCGCGAGATTTCGATTGATGTCCTCGATGTACTTAGCCGTGGTGCGATAGAGATCTCCGCTCGGAACGTAGTTTCCGTCGACCGCGGTTAATCGACGCTCGCGCTTGAGTTTGGAGGAAACTTGCGGAACCGCATAAACGGGTTGTTGACTTTTGGAGATTTTGAAAATAGTAGCGCTCTTCGAGCTCTTAACGAGGTCATTTTTCAAATCTTTGGAACTCGTTTTCTTATCAGTTTTTAACGATGATAAATAAGAACTGTCGTTATTAGAAATGTAATTGTTTTTCGATTCAGTCTTAAGACAATTGTTGAGATTCTCATCATCTTCTACGAGTTGTTTCGACACGTCGCATCGATTGTTATCGATATCGGCGAAATCGTTCTTCCGAGTTGTTCTGTCAACGACGGAAATGGATTTGAACGTTGCCGGATCGTCCTCCAACGGCACGGTATCGTAAACCCGCTGATCGCAGCCGTAACGAGCGCAGCTTTCAGATCTCCATCCGTAATGATTGCAGAAATTGATGTCAGCCTGCCGAGTCTTCTTGTGCCCGTTGCAGTTTTTGTCATTGTTCTCCTTTAAACGCTGAAGATCATCGTTCTGCGAAACGTGTTTCGTGCCGGGGGCGGGGCTGAGTTTATCCCGCCTGGAAAACGTCTTCAGCGTTATCCTACGCGGTTCATCGAGCTCTCGTGACCTGGCGACACGTAGAGTGCCGTAATTCTCGACGAATGCCAGGT